AGGACAATGCCCCTCGCCCCGCAGCTGAGCTGAGGGAGCACAGGCAACTCCGAGCCAGATTGATCAAAGAAGAAACCAGTCGCGAGGGAAACCTGTACTTCCGGCGAGATGGGGCCCTTCTTCTCTGCAAGTGCTTTACTCCAAGGGTCACCATCAACCCAAGGATCTGCCGCTGAGCTCGCTGCTACTGTGGAGTTGCCCTTAGTCTGCTTGATTTTGGATCGTAGTTGCCGGACTTCCTCTTGAGTAACCAGCCTCATTTGCGAACCACAAGCTTCCTTGAGGCTCTTCCACGGATCAAGCGAGTTGTATGCGCTTTGAATCTTGTCGAAGCCTATGGAATCTGCAACTGCTTTTGCGCGTTCTGGCGCATCTTCAGCTGCAACACCCTTTTGGACCAAATGCGCAATGAGCTTCTGCAAGTCATGGCGCGGCTTCACTCCTCCCAGTAGCAATCCCCTGAGTCTGAGGATGAAGCCTCGGTCTGGTAGCGGAGCAGCAGGGTCCACCACGACCCCATCAATCGTGGCTTGCATCATGTGCGAGGGGATTGGGCATGCGTGAGCATTCCACTGTGGCCAGGTTTGACCAGGAGCTGGCAGCGCCATAACATGAAACCGTCCATCCAGACCAACAAAACCTGTTGGTGGCCCAGGCAGAGAGGGAGGACCATCACGCTTGGGTTGATGCATCGTCTGGTGTGATGTCTTCGCCCCAGTTTGTTCTGACCCGTGTACCTTCAGGAAGGCGCCCCATTGACAGTCACACAGATCAAATGTGCTGTCCTGAGCAAGAAGAACCGGGGAACCTTCCGGTACTCGAGGGTTCAACACTTGCATGAGAGAACGGCCTTCACGAGTCAACGACTTGCACATATCCATAGCCGAGCCTCGGAACGTCCAACCAAGAACACGCAAAGCGCACGCTTTCGGAACTTGTACTTTCCAGCATTGACCCAGTCGAACGGGACGTGAGCAACCGTAAATCGCATAGACCTGACCGACAGTCATTCTGGGAAGGTGACCGCTGATGACGACAACATCCTCACATATCTTGGGCTGAAACACACGCTTGTCAGAACCAAGCTCCAAAGGAGATGCGATGTCAACCAGATTAGCAATCACATCAGAGCCGCTCTGCACCCCAGAAGGTTGCACGAAGATGACTTTTCGGCTGGACCACCGTTTGTATGGTAGCCACAGCCTTCCGCTCGGCAGAAAAGCGTCACAGATCCACGGAGGGTCCATCAAGTCCATGGCGCCAGCCGGCTCTACAACCCTGAACAAAAGAGAGGCCCGAACCACAGACCAGAACGAGGCCCCAGAAGCAAAGCCCACCACAACAGAAACCCCGAACTACGGGCCCCAGTTAGCTCCCCGGTCTGACCGGGAGTACCCGGCCGCGCCGGACTGGGAGGCCTGGGCCACGCGGCTTCCCTGCTCAACACCGGTCTTTAAGACACTAGCGACCTCGCCAGGCCTCGACGGTGAAGCACGGAGTCGTGCAATTCCAATGGCCTCTTGCCACGTGCCTACGCGTTTTTCGAAAGGAACCGACTTTAGCTGCGCGTACAGCGATGCGAACGCTGTCGAGTCCTCCGTTGCAAGCATCTTCTGCAGTACGGACTCCCAATCTTTAGTGATGCGTTTGTGGCCAGCAGTCCTCACGTGAGCGACTGTGTACTCAAACCAGCAATCACTGTGTAGATCCTCAAGTGTCGCAGCCTTCCCATTCTGAAGGTCATCGAGCGAGAGAAGTACTTCCCCGAGCTGGTATACGACGCTGTTTTCACAAAGTACGTAATCTCGGAGCGTTCGAGCTTCAGTAGCCACGTACCATGCTGACTCTTTGCATAAGCTCAGCAAGCCTTGAAATGTTGTGGCTTTCCAACCAAGATCATTCATCTGCCCATCTGGGGCGTCCATCATCATACGGAATGATTCTTGTGAAGGCAAAGCAGTCGAATTGCGAAGCTGCACTTCTCGGACTCCTGCGATCGTCATACCGACAAAAGAAGTCTCCGAGGTAGACTCACTCGAGTCACAGAGTTGCAGCCTTTTGGACTTCCGAAAGAGTTCACCGCCCACGTCGCCGCTCTGCCCTTGGAGCAGGTCTAACGTTGGGACAGAATGGTGATGAAGCATCAGAACGATGCACCTTGCGCCAAAATGCAGCAGCGAAGATTCTGCATTGCGCAAAACAAGAAAGATTTGCAGTGATAGCACTGAAAGAACCGTGCACAAAGCACCAAATGTGGTACTCGGGGATTTAGGGGTTTAGGGGTTTAGGGGTTTAGGGTTAAGGGGTTAGGGGTCCAGGGGTTTAGGGTTTAGGGTCAGCGCCGTATTTCTACGGCGGCTACGGAGCTCCCAAGGCATGTGGGAAATGTAAGGCCAACCCTACGATCCTAGATTGTAGGGCTTTGTCGCACTGAGCGGGCTGTGGATGGAGCTGAGCCTAGGTTAAAATGTGTTTTGCCTGAAGGGGTTGCGGAAGTCAGGGATCAGGGTTTCAGGGTTTCAGCCTTTTGAGGTTTAGGGTTTACCTAAACTCGAAAGCCTAAGCCCTCAAAGCCCCCTAAACCTCAAACTCTAAGATGAAACAGCTAGCTAGCAGGGCTTCCGGGTTTAGTGCACCCTAAACCCCTAAACCTTAAACCCCTAAACCCTAAAACCCTACCCCCTAGACCCTATACTAGCAGCTGCCGAACTGAGCTCTGCCTGATGCAGTAGTATGAGTATGCCAATGACTCAACGACAGGCCTGCCTTCTAGGCTGAAGGTCGGAAAAAAACCCTACGTAGACGCCACGGGGACTTAGTAAGTAGATTCTACGTAGGGTAAGGTATCCTACTTGGAGTTGCCCCAACTATAACCCTACTTACCTACTTCCTCCAAGTACCTTAAACCCTAAAAGCCCCAAGCCACAGACCATAACTACCCTGAAGCCCTACGCCCTGACAAGCCCAAAGCGCTAAATGGCTTGCCGTCCTTTACAGTCGCGACTTCGCAGCTTCAGAGCTCGAACCTTTGGTCGAAACCCCGGAGACAAGACCATCCCCAAAGCCTTCAATAATTAATCGAAACACCAAAAGCGACAAGATTCCAATTCTCCAGATTGAAACGAAACTCCTAATGTCTCAACCCTCAACCCCAATCCTAAACCCCGAACCCTTACAGAACCCCTCAAAAACCTTATACTAGGTGTCGATTTCAACCGTCCTCAAGATGATCTATATGTTGCAATAAGGGAAATGAACAAATCTCCCAAATCGATACCTAGCATATAGGGCTTCTCTTAAAATTAGAGCCCTTATAAACCCTAAACCCTAGCCCCCAAAACCCCTAAACCCTAGACTCCTAAACACCTAAACCTTGGAGCAGCCTGTTGTCCAAGAGTGCTTGGATGATGGTGTGCATCTGTTCACTGATGGTTCAACCCAACCTCATGCATTTGTTCCGGTTAGTACCTGGGCCGTTGTTCTTGCGGACCCTTGTTCAATGGAGAATGCAGTTGTAGAACGAGGCATGCTTCCAGGTCGACAAGACAACTTCCGTGCTGAACTGTATGCTGTCTTTGTTGCAGTACAGACCGCGTCTTCTGCTACTTTGTACTCCGATAACCTTTCGGTTGTTTTGGGGTTTAGGATTTTGTTGGCTAGGGGATGGGTTCATTCTCGTTTTTGCAAAACGCCGAAACATCCTTGTGGTGGGCAGTTTGGCAAAAGGTTGCTCCCAAACGGACCGGCTGGCGAATACAGCATGTTAAATCACATAGTACGCCCAAACCTGGCGAAAGCTTTGCTCAGCGTTGGCAGCGTTGCCACAACGATGCAGCTGATGAAGCTGCAAAATCCGTGTATCGGGAGCTGCCACCAACGGCAGCCAGCATTGTTTTCGAAGCACGACAAGCTTACGCTGAGTATGTGAATATTGCAAAACTTGTTTTTTCGCTGCAGGAAAATATTGTTAAGGGGACAGTTCGGTCGCATGATGAATGTCAACCGCGGGTTCTCGAACACAGTGCGCGTGCAGCAGACATTGCTGTGTCTTCAAATGCATCGATTCAAGACGGTCTAGCTGTAAGTTTTAGCTTCCAACCGCAAGATTTTGCGGACGCTTTACTAGGGCCTCGTTTCTTGTGGGTGGTTCAGGCTTGGATGAAGCGAGGCACTTGGGTAGAGTCTTCTGAATGGGTTTCCATTTTGGAGCTGTATTTACATTTTGTAGTGTCCACAGGATGGCTGGCTCCAGTCAACGTGGCATCATGGAGTACGGGCAGATTGCCTTTGTCCTTGCAAACGGGCTCAGTGCCGCAAGCGTTTGTTTGCGAAGCTGATTACCCTCCTTTGGCCCTGAGCAGGCCATCGCTTGGTAAACAAGCTACGGTTTTTTTGCATGCGTTTAAAGATGTCTGCAAACGGCTTGAGCTTGAAATTAAGATCGAGCGGCGTCAGACTCTACAACTTTTTGCATGTACAGTGCCGGTGGCTTCAAGTTGCATTGTGCCGAGGGATATCCGGCAACCGCCACATGAGCTATTTCATAAGGTGTTTAATGGTGCGGATTACCCCACCATCACTCGGGCTATGATATGTGCGCCAGTACAGGCACTGCATTGCCCTGTTCCCCTGCGTAGTCCTGTTATGGTCTGGAACTCTTATACCAAGTTGACAAGAGCAGCGCGCAAACGGCGCAATGCTTGAATTTGTAATTAATCTTGTATGTCGCCCTGTTAAGCATCTTGGCGTGCTTCTCGCTTGGATGGTCCGCAGACGTCTTGCATAAACACCTAAACCCCTAAATACCCTTAACCCCCAAACCCCCAAATCCCCTAAACCCCCAAATCCCCTAAACCCCACAAATCCTCGGATGGAAGGCGAGCCGCTTGAAGATAGGGCTTCTCTTAAAGCCCTTATAAACCCTAAACCCCCAAAACCCCCAAATCCCCTAAACCCCTAACCCCAAAACATCCCGAATCCCCGGATCAAAGGCGAGCCGCTTGAAGAGGGCCTGCTCCTCACTGACCAGGCTCCGCATCTTTGAAACCTCGCTCGTTGGATTCCGGTTTAGGGTTTAGGGGTTTAGGGTTTAGGGTTTAGGGGTTTAGGGTTCGGGGGTTTAGGGCTTTAGGGGTTTAGGGGTTTAGGGTTAGGGTTTAGGGGTTTGGGGTTTGGGGGTTGTGGGGTTTGAGTTCGAGGCTTTGCGGCTGAGGGGCTCTAGTCTTTGGGATTTGGGTTTGGCTGTTCCCAGACAACCGCAAACCCCCTTCTCAAAAGACTCTGTATTCGAGTTGCATTGCAGACTTTCGCATTGAGAGTCGTTCTGCCATCCCTAGTAAAAGGCTTGGACTACCTGGCTCTTCAGCTTAGCTCCACGGTTTGGGATACGAAAAAGTCGGCCGTAGGTTGCTGTAGTCGGGGAGGTGCTTCTAAAGCCTTTGACAAATATGAGTAAGTAAGATCCTCCTAAGCCCAATAAGAGAGCAAATACAACATGTCCCAAAGCCCTACCCAGTAGTGCTGGTGGTATGAAGCTTCAAAGAAGCCTTTGGGTTGAGGGTTTAGTGCATGTAAAGGATGCGCGGCTTAGGATCTGGAGAGGAGATTACGTGACTATGCAGTGGTTAACTGACTAGTCGGGTTTTCCAAACAGAACCCGAATCCACATCCCCTAAGTCTGCCGCCATAGGGCATATCCAAAAAGACAAAGCCCACAAAGCTCGAAGAACTTCCAGACCACAAGCCAGGAAAGATGGTGAAAACAATAACGACCCAGACGGCAGAAGGCCGGTAGCTGTTTAAGGGTAAGGCTTTAGAACTCAACGCTAAGTCTCGCTTTCTGTGGATGTGGCTGTTGTAGTGTAAATGTACGTGCCAGATATACATACATATATCATATCTTATCATATATATATATATATAATACACAGGTTGTTCTTTCTAAGTATACATACATGTGTGTGCATAAATATGTGCATACATACATATATATATATATATATACACACACACATATATCGCAGGCATGCACACCTGCAAAACCTGAGGACCACAAGCCTGAGCAAAAAAGGCCTCTCTTTTTGGTATTGGGTAACTTTATAAGGAACCTAGGACTACAAAAAGGGAATAAGGGTTACTAGTGGGCATCCTAGACAAACTCAAGCGAACAAAGGCCGTTCCCATTCAGGGACAAGGATCCTTCTTGGGGGAAGGCCACCTCATGACCGACCACCTGAAACGCCGCCCTCCTATAGGCCTGAATTTCAAACCCGAAACACCCCAGACCCCCTAGCCTCTACTGACAGCCAACCCTCACCACTAAAACAACAAAGACGCAAACACTAGCCCCTAAACCCTAACCCTTAAGCCAAAAACCAACAACTGCAGCCACTGCAGCATAAGACAGACTCGGGTTCGGTGGGATGAACGCTTCCCCCTCTTCCAGCCCTTGGGTTTAGGGTGTGCGGAGTTCAGGGGGTTTATAGGGCTGAGGGTTCTAGGGGTTTTAGGGGTTTAGGGTTTTAGGGGTTTTAGGGCTTTTAGGGGTTTGGGGTTTAGGGTTTAGGGTTTCACGGGTTTTAGGGCTTTAGGTTGCGGGCTTCCGGCTTGAAGGCGTGGGCTCTGGCCCGAGGCCGAGTAAGCTTTCGGGTCTGGATTTGGGGTTTAGTGTATTTGACTCTGAAATAAGAAACAGTTATCGGAAATCCCGTGTGTGAAGGATCTAGGGCAGATGATCTCGAGCTCAAGCACGCAGGACCGAAGAAGAAAAGCGAGGATCCGTCAGATTTATTCACATGATGCTCCTTAGATTTTAGCCTGGAATAAAGACCCCCGAAATACGTACACCCGATTGTACAAAACCTTCAAATCAATTCTAAGAACTGAGGCAACTAATACATATGAACTTAACGGGAGCCTGCTGTGACGACACAACACATAGGACGAATCGTCGAACTCAGCAGCAAGGAGAAGGTCGGAAAGGCATGGGTAAAATAGCCTGAAAATTTCGAATCCTTTTAGTTTCTTTCCCAGAGGCTCCATATATATATATACACACATATAGCACCATTCTGGAATTAGGTCCCAAAAGACCATCCATATCATAGAATTGAGGACCTAATTCCATGATGGCACCATATTTGGAGCCTCTAGGTTTCGTTATGGCAGCCAGCGTTGAGGATGTAGGCCACCAGGATGGGTAAGGGAGATGCGACAGCCAGCCCAATGTGTGCCCAGGGTCGGTCGGCCATCGTTGGGTTGTAGATGCTTCTCAGCAGCTGGAGGTCCTGAAACTTACCTTTGGTTAGTAGGGCATGGAAGAATGGTAGTAATAGTAGTTATAATTATACCCCGTTCCTCCATTCCCTACTAACCAAAGCTAAGGAAATGAGAGAGGCAGAAAATCAGGGTGACGTACTCAGGAGTCCTGAAAACGAGGATCCTGTCTTGACATAGGCTTTTCACATACTACAGAAACCTGAGCATGTGGGAGCTTCTTCAGCGCAAACAGCATACTATGGCCCATGCAAAGACCTAAATATTGATTGACTAGGGTTCTGGATTCTTGGGCTTCGGGTTCCGGGTACTGGGGAGCAAATTCGGTGCAGGCATTTGAAAGACACCTGAGTGGATCATGCGAAATGCAGGCTTGCCTGATGAGGGCCTTTCAAGGATGCACGGCGAATCGCCACCAGGGTCCTAGTTGTGAAATGCCAGGTGCGCGTCAACCTTAAACAAACTTCAACTCCTAAACCCTGAACCCGTAAACCCTACACAACGAACTTATCGCGGCATTGTCCTGAAGAGGTAGGCTGATTGGACCCTGAAACATACGTCCACCACTGTTTTCATGAACACAGCATGCCTTTACCACACTTGGGGGATACCAACGAGCAAGCATGCACGCAGGAAGCGAATCAGTGACGTTGCTCAACACTGAACAGGAGCAACAAATTCCTTCTTACAAAACATCCGCCTCTGTGCCCAGAAAACGAAACCCCACAAGCCCAGTCCTCTTCCAGTACCAATGACACTTGCGGGCTAAGGCTACAAAAGAGCAAGCGTGTACGCAGGAATCGAAACAGCGACATTGCTCAAAGCTGAACAAGACTAACAAACTCCTTTTTACAAACCATCGGCCTCTGTGCCCAGAAAACGCAACCCCACGGGCCCAGTCCTCTTCTTTGATGCTGTTGTAAGTCCCCTCGCGAAGGCTGTGAAGGAAAGCCTGCATTGTGGCGGATGGTGGAACCCATGAGTTTACTTGGAGTTCTCACAGACACAAAGAAGTACCAGTTTGCAGGTGCCTATGTGTTTTGAGGACGGTTTAAGCTGTTTGTTGGAATCAGGTGCAAGGCTCATTAATAAAGATGGGCCGTGAACACTACCGCAGCGGACTGCTTCAAAAACGATTGAATCGACTCAAGTTCTTGGTTTGCGTAATCAGACGCCATTCATTGCAGAAGTGGCTAAGACATGCCCTGCTTGCATAAACATGGAGCTAGCAGCTAAATGATGTATCCTTATAGCCTGCCCTGATGCGCACCATACCATGCGAACTCTTACTAAAACGTAAAACCCTGCACTGCACTGTCAAGGTCTCGCCTTGCCGGAGGTGGTCCTCGCCTGTCGTGAACACTGTTTCCTAGCTCTCTGCAAGCAAAACCAATAATGACACATCCATGCGAACGAAACCCACGAAAAAAACCTGTGCCACTGCTCCACAACCTGCCACAACCCAGTGGTAACATGGAATTTCAAATCAGGTACTACACAGCCGAAGACGCGGACATCGGGACTCAAGGGCTAGCGGCAGTCATGAGATTCGACGCAAGTCAGATGGATAGAGCTAGCAGCAGGTGACATTGCCGAACATAACATAACAGCGTGAGGTTGCTGAAGCAAAAGCCGATACAACCGAAATCCTATGTGGGTGCCGAAGGTATCCCCGGCACTAAATGCTATAGATGCCTGTTTCTGATAGGAAATTATGATTGCTTCCAACAAACATATTCATGCGTGCATTGTCTTTGAACGTGTAGACTCATGCCGTATCATGCATTCAATTGACGCGCATCTTTGCTGTCGGCTGCTCCGACATGACACACTGTCTAGTAGTGCAAACCATAAGGGATCCGAGCACATTCAACCCCGGCATGCACAATCATTGCCCTTCGGGTCCCGGTGCACTTTTTGCAAATTGCGACGACGCAAGGCGAACGTGTGCTACGCGCAATTTGAGGTTGCCCTCGATAAGTGATAAGCTTCCTTGTCTTGCGAACAGTGGTGCCATCGTGGAAAGTTGCCATCGAAGCGTAACGGTGCGGCAGAAGTTGCCAAGCTAGTCCTGCCTCCAATCAGCCCTGAAACAGAGCCAGGCATTTCTTTAACACGCTGCATGTGTTGCGCAAGGGCCAGAAAAAAAGAGGTTGCTCAATCAGAGAAAATACGTAAACCCAATATGCGCTTGGAAATGTCGAGGCAGGGAGTGTGAAGAAACCGTGTCGGTGGGTTGGATTCGAGGCGGTTTGCTTGAAGGCCCGGGAGGAAAAGCATCGAAGGTAAGTCGTCGTGGATCTTAAGGGTCTAAGTTCTCCATACAAACCCAAACCCTCACCCCTAATTGTGGCAATGGCATAGTCTTTCGAAGATCCAAAAAAACCTGATTTCGAGAACCCTCCACTCGCCCAACTGAAGGAGCCTTAAGAATGAAATGAAGTTTTGGGGTATATTATTGGTTGGGTATATTGGGGAACCTTAAGGAAGTAATATGTTGCCTCATGAAGATATCAAAGTCCTTGCGGAAACACGGGGGTCTGGTAGCAAAAGAAAAGATGACTACCCCGAACTATGATGACCTACTCTGGTTTATAGTGTCCCGTGGCTTCTGTGTGAGGGCTGATAATGAAAACTTTCAAGTCCAAGTAGGTGCGGTAGCTGAAGCCAATTTTAGGAGAAAGGTTCGCCTCTACCAGACCATTTCAGAGCTCTACCAGCACCCCCCAAAACAGCAGATAAGCAAACATCAAGATAGGGATATCGCATATATAGCCCCTTATCATGAAGCCCATTAAGGTAGGGATATCCATATAAAATGCTTATGCCTATGTCCTTTTGGGGTCCCTAAGCTACGAAAGATGAGGAAGGCGTGCCTCGGACGAAACACAAATCCCAAAGCCTGAAAGGGTGGTTGTCAAAATCATGGTCCCTTTTTGGGTCTTTACTATAATGCGGCACCTAGTATTTAGGGTACCCCAAAAAGGGACCCTAATTTTGGTAACTACCCGAAACTCAGTTCGAACCTCTCAAGAGCCCTGAACCCTATAACCCTGAGCCCTAAACCCTACCCTAAACCCTAGCACTGTAAACGCCCTGGAATCCCGCTGCAACCTGCGACACTCCAACCACAAGGCCAGGAAATACCTTTTCGAACTCAACCCTAAAACCAAAACCCTGAAAACCTGCACCTTAAAGCCTCTACACCCTACACTACTTGTCCACAACCCTACAACCGAAGCCCCCGAAGTCTCACGCACAGCGAAACACAGCTAACAAAGCACCCCATACAACCTCAAAATGCAGGAATATACCTAGTAAAACTCGAAACAAAACTTAACCCTAAACCCTGCTAAACCCTAAACCCTGACCAAAATCTGCGAGACTAAAACCCAAGAACCTCTGCCGAGTCGGTTTCTGCGCTCAAGGCTGGCAAAGAGGCGAACGACTCCACCTCGCGGGCTCTGGAGCTCAAGGAGTTTTAGCGGTTCCAGCCACCCTCAACTACTCTCTAGTATACCCTAGATACCCCCTATTAAGGACCATAATGGCTCTATCAAAGGATACTTGGGGGCTGCTCGCTTAGGCTTGATGCAATCAGCGCTTTTAAGGTTTGGGGCTTTCTCTTTAAGGTGTTAAAGCTAACTAACATATGGCTTCAGATTTGTAAGTTCTGGAGTTCAGGGCTTTTTAGAGGTTTGCGGCACACCTACTATACTTTAAATACCAACTGTTACGAAACGAACCATAAGGGCTCCATTAAAGGGTGCTTGAGGGCTGCTGGTTCAGGCTTGTTTTAATCAGTGCTTCTGGGATTTGGGGATTTCTCTTTAAGGTGTTAAGGCTTACATATGGTCGAAGATGCTTTGTGGGGTTTGAGGTTTTGGGTTTCCGATGGGGTCTAGGGTTTCAGGGCTTACGTTGCGTCGCGGAGTGTGTCCCCACAAATCAAAAGCCGAAGCAAGCCTAAAACTTAAACCTGGAACACTAAACCCACAACCCTTACACCAGAAACCCTAAATTTACCAAACCCTCAAAGCTCTAGACTCGAAACCACCCTCGACGCCCCTTGAGCCCTGGCCCCTGGGATGAAACATCGCAAATCCCCCAAACCCTGAATCCGAAAGCCCCCGAAGACCATTATAGTAGAATCCAGAAAGTCGGAACATCAGTATCCTCGTGCCCTCAAGGTAAAGTATAGGGGATCGTAGCACCAATCCTCCTAAACCCATGTTCCAACTTTGTGGGGTTCACTGTATAACCTCCAGGACCGAGGCCTCAGAGAGGTTGAACTTGTCGAGGTCCAGGTCTACACCTCTCCGACGTCTGGGGGCGAAGCTACGAAGATTCTGAGGTTTGGTGGTACAAGTAGTCGTGGTAGTAGTAGGAGTAGTAGTAGTAGTAGTAGTCGTGGTGGTGGTGGTGGTAGTAGTAGTAGTAGTGGTGGTAGTGGTAGTGGTAGTGGTAGTGGTAGTGGTAGTGGTAGTGGTAGTGGTAGTGGTAGTGGTAGTGGTAGTGGTAGTGGTAGTGGTAGTGGTAGTGGTAGTGGTAGTGGTAGTGGTAGTGGTAGTGGTAGTGGTAGTGGTAGTGGTAGTGGTAGGGGTAGGGGTAGGGGTAGGGGTAGGGGTAGGGGTAGGGGTAGCGGTAGGGGTAGCGGTAGCGGTAGGGGTAGGGGTAGGGGTAGGGGTCGTGGTCGTGGTCGTGGTCGTGGTGGTGGTGGTGGTGGTGGTGGTGGTGGATGGTGGTGGTGGTGGTGGTGTGGTGGTGGTGTGGTGGTGGTGGTGTGGTGGTGGTGGTGGTGGTGGTGGTGGTGGTGGTGGTGGTGGTGGTGGTGGTGGTGGTGGTGGTGGTGGTGGTGGTGGTGGTGGTGTGGGTGGTGGTGGTGGTGGTGTGGTGGTGTGGTAGTGGGTGGTAGTGGTAGTGGTGGTGGTAGTGGTAGTGGTAGTGGTGGTAGTGGTAGTGGTAGTGGGTAGTAGTGGTGGTGGTGGTAGTGGTAGTGGTAGTGGTAGTGGTAGTGGTAGTGGTAGTCGTAGTAGTAGTAGTAGTAGTAGTAGTAGTAGTAGTAGTAGTAGTAGTAGTCGTAGTGGTAGTAGTAGTAGTCGTAGTGGTAGTAGCAGTGGCAGTAGCGGGAGCAGTAATAGTAGTAATAGTAGTAATAGTAATAATAGTAGTAGTAGTAGTAGTAGTAGTAGTAGTAGTAGTAGTAGTAGTAGTAGTAGGAGGAGGAGGAGTAGTAGTAGTAGTAGTAGTCGTAGTGGTAGTAGCAGTGGCAGTAGCGGGAGCAGTAGTAGTAGTAGTAGTAGTAGTAGTAGTAGTAGTAGTAGTAGTAGTAGTAGTAGTAGTAGTAGCAGTAGCCCCGGTAGGACCAAGAGCAGGAGCAGCGCAGTCAGCAGTAGCAGTAGCAAGTGGAAGGGGAGGCGGAGTAGCAGCACTTGGAGGCCCAGGGGACTTAGTAAGTCGGTTATAAGCACGGTTATCATTGGGGTATCTCCGCATAGTTATAACTCCCTTATGACCTACTTACGAAGTCGCCTGGGCCTCTAAGTAGGAGCAGAAGAAGCGCGAGCAGCAGCTGCTTACGGGTGAAGCTGTACTAGGCAGTCAAGTACCATCAGGTACCCACACTCTCCATAGTAGTTTCTTTTTGTGGCTCATATTTAGCATCCTATAAGGTAATCCCAAAAAGGGACTACTATGGAGCCTCTAGGTACCCCGATATATGCTATGAGTAGCAAAGCGCTTAGATTTCAAGCCGGTATTAAAAACGCTTTTCAGAAGCCCATAATAAAGGGCTGCAGAAAGCCTATATCCTACACCCTAATCTTTAATTCGACACAAAACCCTATATACCCCAAAACCCTAAACCCTAAACCCCATGAGCCAGGTACCCAAGAACTCCCCGCAGACCCTGCAAGGATGCCTTGGGGCATCTCGCCCCGCTGGGTGAGCTGGAAGCGCTGGGGCATGAACCTCCGCAGAGCCGGATCAAAGGGCTTTTTTGGGGGGATTTAGGGTTTAGGGGCTTAGGGGCTTAGGGGTTTAAGGCTTTAGGGTTTAGGGGTTTAGGATTTAGGGCTTTAGGGGGTTTACTTTTTTGGGGCTTAGGGCTTAGGGATTTAGGGTTTAGGGCTTATAGGCTTTATAGCACTTATTCGGCTTATAGGGTTTATAGGGCTTATAGGGTTTATAGGGTTTAAGCATCAGGGTTTAAGGCTTCAGGCTTCACGGTCCCGTGTTTAAGAGTTTCAGTTCCGAGGTTTCAGGGGCAGGCTTTAGGGCCTCAACTTTTCGGGTTTAGGGGTTTAGGGTTTAGGGGTTTAGGGTTTAGGGGTTTAGGGTTTAGGGGTTAGGGGTTTAGGGGTTTAGGGGTTTAGGGGTTTAGGGGTTTAGGGTTTAGGGTTTAGGGGTTTAGGGTTTAGGGGTTTAGGGTTTAGGGTCTAACCCTAGGGATCTAAGGACTCATATATTAAGGCTTTGGGGCCCAAAGACCATACTATACAAGCCTTTTGGGCTATTTTGATCCCTAGGGAAGGCAAGTCGAAAGGTTTAGGGTTCAGGCTTTAGGGCTTCAGGGTTTCAAGGTTCGGTGGGGCTTTTGCGCCTGGATTTGGGAAGCCGCAGCTCCAGATTTCGCATAGTGTGGGGTTCGGGGATCCAGGCGTCAGGTACGGAGAGAAGGTGCCTGGGTGCTGAGTTGCTCATGCAGAAGAGCCTGATCACTTCGGAGTCTCGACATCTGTGGTTCGGGGCCCCTACCTAGCCTTGTCTACTTAGACGTCCAGGGAACTTCGTAAAGTAGAATATAGGTAGAGGTTTCAGTACCCGAAATGGAGTTACCTCAATACACCACTTATAACTGACTTACTAAATCCCCTGGGCCTCCAAGTAACCCTAAAACACTCCTTATAGATCCCTTTTAAAGAACCCTTCAAAGAAACCTCTAAGGAACCCTTGATCCCCTTTGAAGAGCCCTTTATAAGGAGTACTACTGGGGAGCCCAGTTGTAAACAGGCTCAGCTTACACCGCTCGCTGCAGGTTGATCTTCGGGCCTGCAAGACATAATACAGGGGCCTTAAATATTAGAATAGGGTTTTGGGGTAGGTTACACTATAAATGTAAAATGGAACACCCAAAATAGTGTAGGTAATTATCTAGGTCCCTATAGTAGCCAATGGCATGGGGGCAGGGGTTGAGGGTTTGGGTTTAGGGCTTTAGGGTTTAGCATCCATCGTCATGACTGTCCAAGATGTGCCTTCTGAAGACTGCAGCGAACTAGGCATGAGGACGTCAAGATGCAATCCAGCATTTAGGATTTACGGCCCCTTTTCCTTGCAGCGGCCCTTACAAGCCGCACAAATAAAAACCTGCAAAGCTGCGCACGTCTCGGAGACCTTAAACCGAAAGCTCTGCCCCAAGTTACGAAACACCATAAAACAAGCTGTCCAGGCCACATAGGTCGCCCAGAAGGTCCAAGCTGCATGCCTCGTGCCGAGCTGCTGCGGTGGCCACTCTTGACAACTCTTGCCAGCATCGGCAAATCTAACAACCTTTCATCTAAAACTGCGCCTGCATGATGCTATACACATACAACTGAAAGAGAGAGAGAGAGAGAGAGAGAGAGAGTGTGTGTGTGTGTGTGTGTGCGTGCGAGAGGTTCTACATCTTGATAGTCCTGGAAACATCCGTCAAACATACACACGTGCACACACACACACACACACGCACGCACATTCACACGCACATAACTTACATACATACACACATACATACATACATACAGACAGACAGACAGACAGACAGACGCACATACATGTAATACAATACACAAGCATAGATACATGCTTTCACAGGCACGCAGACGGACAGAGCGAAAAACAGACATGCATACCTGCCTACCTGCACGCATGGATGCCTGTGAATATTTGCATGCTGCATCCGGAGGCGCCTTGCAAGCCTGCCTGCTGCATAGAGACTCCCGGCACGCCAGGACGCAGAGCCTGCAGCCAGCTCTTCGGTATTAGGACTCTAAGGCTTAAGCCAAATACAAGCCAAGCTTTCAAGCTTGCAAAGTTCAGAGTCTAGGGGAAAGCGTCAGATTTAGGTCTAGAGCTCCGAATTTGTTGAGAGTTCAGTGCTTGTCGCAAGGGAGTCCATGTACACCTCAACCACTTAAAACCGCCTTCTTCAAAGCGCATACATGTCCGTGAAATGGGTCCGAACTCTTTGTGGCTTGAATCCGGATACAATGATGTGGATATCAGAAGTCGATCTGACTCCCTGCCGCGTGGCATGGCGCTGGGCAAGCTCGAAGCGATCTAAGCCAAACTCCACGCCGCCGTAGATGGCGTGAAGGTTCGAGACGCAGCCTAGGCTTTAGGGCTTAGGGAAAGGCAAGATCGTTCGTCCGTGCTAGAGGCTTTGGATAAAACTACCTGTGTCCTCGTGACAGCATGTCTCTAGCCGTGCGTGAATACATGCATGCATGTACGTGTGGTCGTCCAGGCTTGAACAACATTTTCTAGCTGAGCGCTATTCGTTTGTGCAGTCATGGCAGCGGTTGACGCCACCAAAGTCGCCTATTGTTGTTAATTCTCTCTGAAGTTAAATGCACCCGTTGTTCATCGGTCTCGGCTTTGCTCTTGCCCGCGATGGATTGCACAAGCCGAGACATCTTTATTGATGCAGTTGCCGCTGGAGGTGATGCTGGTTGTGTCGCGGGAAACACTGTATATAGTAGTAGCACCCGCGGCCGAAGCAGCTGCGGTCGTGGGTGGTGAATATCGGCGAAAAATCATCGGCAAATTTTCCTTTTCTTTGGCTTTAAACATATTGTGCAAAGACTGGTTTTGCCTAATCTGTTTAGTGCTTTTGATTCCTATTGTTAAGGTTTCTGGGTACAGTTGACCAGGCCAGGGATGGAAGAGCCACTGGATGCAGCATGTACCGGAAAGCCCTACATCCCTACACCCTCAAGCCTAACCCCGAATACCTAAACCTTAAAGCCTAAACCTCAACCCGCCCAGACCCTAAGCCCTAAACCTTCCCCATTGGCCCTAGAACCTTAAGGACGAAATGAACCCTAAAAGGGTTTAAGGTTCATATACCACTATAGGGGTTCATACGGTTGATGATATAAATCCTGCATTACCTTAAGGACCCGAAACTATGGGAGTTATGGTGTATTATTATGGGTAATGCAGGATTTATCTCATCAACCGTAGTAATTATATGGGTATCGGGCCCCTGCTTTTAAGGGCCCTAAACCCTAAACCCTAAACCCCTAAACCCTAAACCCTAAACCCCAAACCCTAAAACCCTAAACCCTAAACCCCTAAACCCTAAACCCCTAAACCCTAAACCCTAAACCCCAAACCCTAAAACCCTAAACCCTAAACCCTAATCCCCTAAACCGTAAACCCCTTAACCGTAAACCCCTAAACCCCTAAACCCTAAACCCCTAAACCCTAAACCCCTAAACCCCTAGACCCCTAAACCCTAAACCCCTAGACCCTAAAACCCTAAACCCCTAAACCCCTAAAACCCTAAACCCTAAACCCCAAACCCTAAAACCCTAAACCCTAAACCCTAAACCGTCGTTTGGTCCTTCAGGAAGGCCCTGGCCTGTCTCCATGTCCACGATCTTGCCGTGCTCCAGACGGATCCGAGACAAGCCGCGCATGTTCCTGCGAGTAATTCAGATTCTTTTTCAGCGGTTTAGGGTTTACTAGTTCCTCTTTGGGATAGGGTTAAAAATGTACATTTTCATTCCTTATTGGGATTGAGTACCCAAAAACATGTAAAATTTTAGCCAATTATGGCAAAGTTTAGGGTTTAGGGTTCTTTTGATAACGGTTCCATAAAAGAAATGGTGGACCTAGTATAGGCGCCGATAATAATCAGAATAGGGTTTTGCGGCCCAGTATACTATAATCATGAACAAGGAACCCCCACGAGAGCCTTGATAATTATTACGGCCCCTCATAGTAAACAGGGGCCCTAACTTAGACAACTACCCGAATGAGGTGGAGGACATCGGTCGAGTAAAACTTTTCTGCAGCCTGGTGTTTCCCTTCCTCCATTCCCTACTAACCAAAGGCAAGCATTTCCTCCCGAAGATAAACTTACCCTCCCTCCCCCAAAATACCTACACAACAAAACCCCAAATCTCAAACTCTTCGAACAAAGCAAGAGCTTAAAATCAGAGCCGCCGCCCAGCTTTCAAAGCAGAAAAGACCTGAGCCCCAGGCCCCTAAAAAACCCTAAACTCCTAAAACTCTAAACCCTGAACCCCTTAAACCTAAAACCCCTAAATCCCTAAACTAAACCCGGTCCAGAGCTGAGGGATCTCCGGGTGCATCTCCGGAGCCTTCGTCTCACGCTGTTCACTGAAGGGTTCAGGCCATCAAAGGCTCTCGCCTTTAAGGGTTCCTTTAATCCTTTAAGGGCTCTTTTAAGGCTTCCTTTAAATGGCTTAGGGCTTTGGGAATTTCTTTTGTGGTTGCTATTACCCCTAGGGATCTAAGGACTCATATATTAAGGATTTTGCGCCCGAGGACCATACTACGGTAAGGCTTTTGGGCTATTTTGATCCCTAGGGTAGGGCTTGGGGTTCAGGGCTTCAGGGATCTGAGCGTTTAGGGGTAAGGGTGCTGTTGAGTTTCAGGGATCTACTAATATCGGGGCCTTAATCGTTTTAATAGGTTTTGGAGCCCGCTATGCAACAAGTATAATAAGGAGCCGCAAAATAGTATAGGCCCCAAATGAAGACCTTAGCCCTAAACCCTAAACCCTTAACTCTACTAGGGGCTTAGGGTCCAGAATTTCGGTGGGCCTTCGGCTTTGTTGGGGGGTTTCCGCGAGGGCGCCTTTAGTGTTTCCTGTTTAGGTTTGGGGTTCAGGGGTCTGGGGTTTTGGGGGGGTTTGTGGCTCTGTGGTTTAAGGGGTTGGGGGTTTAGGGTTTAGGGGTTTAGGGTTGAGGGTTTAGGAGGTGTAGTGTTTAGGGTTGAGGGGGTCAGGGATTCGGGGTTCAGGGGCACGGATATGTAAAGGGCTCGGGCGTGCGAAGCCCTCAACCACAAACAACCCTACAAACCCTTATTGTGCAAAGTACAAAAAACTACACACCCTCAGGAATGATATTCGTGCTGAGTCCGATCCGTGTCAGGAGCCCGAGTCCAGGGCTTGGGTTCTGCGGCATCAGTGAAGTTCGGGTTTAGGAGTTCAGGCTCGAGGAGTTAAGGTTTTTCAGGTTCAGGCTTGATTGAAGATTTCAGGAGTTCAGGGCTCTTTCGGGTTTCAGGTTTACGCTGAAGTCCGTTTACCCTAGGGATCTAAGGACTCATATGTTAAGGCTTTTGGGCCCAAAGACCATACTATATAAGGCTTTTGGGCTATTTTGATCCCTAGGGGTTTGTACCATAATGGACTGTAAATGTACCACGGTGTGTCCGCAAGTTTTCGGAAGCAGACGAGAAGAAATATTCGACAACTTCGGCTTGGAGGCTTGAGGGCCTCTGGGGGCCTTAAAGGGAACTCCAGAAAGTTGGAATATGGTTTCAGGGTAGGATACCTTGTAATTTACCATGGAAGGGTTAGGATAATCATATTCCAACTTTCTGGCTTTTACCTTAATGACGTAATGTAGAGGCATGACTGAACCATTCGACGTGATTCCTAGACTACAAGTACAGCTTGGAGCCCGAAGGAGGAACATGATTAATTCTTCATGATGTAATTATACTACGCTTTAGCTTGACTGACAAGGCTATGTGTCCAAGTTCCTGAACATGACGTGCGGATGAAGCGGCCTAGTTATGCAGGTAGTTAGCTACGACTACGAATGGACTGTAGCTATGTGCATGCTGCGGAAACATAATGGCGGGTGCATGAAGGGAATGCGACCAGTTTCAATGTACTACATAGATGAACGCCAGAATCGCATCCAAAACGAGGCAAGCCTGGGTTCTTGGACCCTCTGATATCTGTCTTGAGAGCTTCCGAGCATGCGAAACCCCGAAGACATGTGGGTTTAGGGTCCTGCAACTGAAGCACCCTAAACCCTAAACTAAATCCAAAACCCTAAACCCTATCCTCAGCCCGATTGAAGCACCCAGAACCACACCCTAAACCCTAAACCCTGAACTCTAAACTCGGGTCGCGGGCCGTGTTCGCCACGATCTCATCGGCGGAAGATGTCCAGATGTCGTCGATCCGCGCTCCAGAGTCCACCTTGGCTTTGAAGTTCAGAAGTACATTACCCCAGGGATCTAAGGACTCATATATTAAGGCTTTTGGGCCCATAGACCATACTATATAAGGCTTTTGGGCTATTTTGTGAAGTTCAGAAGTACAGAGGGTTTGGCGTTCAGGGTTTAGGGATTAGGGGTTCCAGGTTTAGAGTTAAGACATTAGCCAAGCAACAATCTTAAGTGGCGACGACTCTAGCACCAATGAGTACCTGGAGTCACTTCGCAGCTTCACTTCCAATTTTCGTACCATCGTAGTTTGATGTTTTGGGCTTCCTCTGTGCTCTGTGCTTCTAGTTTTGTCGCAAGGGCGAAGCCGCAGGTTCCTGTCGCACTTTCTCTATGCTGGCAACATTGTCTCCAAAATGCCGCGTTCCTATCCCCATACAGAACCCTTACAAGCCTGATGATGCCTTTATAGAACCGTTAAATCCCTAAGATCGGTAAAGAACCATCGAAAGGCTGAGGCATTTCTAGAACCCTGATAAATATCACCCTACTTGGAGACCCAGGAAACTTATGCAGTCGGTTATAAGTGGGGTTGTATTTGGGGTACCTCCAGTTGGGGTACTTATAACTCTACTTATATCCAACGGTAAAAGGAGGGACCCTTAATAAGGACCCCTAGGTATATACTCTTGATATAGCTATTATATACCCATTATTATATAGCCCCATTATAGGGTAGGGGTCCCCATTAAGGGTCCCTCCTTTTCCCCTTAGACTATAACTTACTTACTCAGTCCTTTGGGCTTCGAAACCCTAAACCCCTAAACCCCTAAACCCTGAACCCTAAACCCTAAACGACTTTTGACCGACCGAGCCACCAGGAACTTGGCCATGACAGAGGCTTTCGCAAGTTCGCGGAGATGGAAAATCACCGACTTCCTTCGGCTCTCATCATAGTCATCTAGGTGGGGCTTTTAAAGGCTTTGAAAAATATTAGTAAACAAGATCCTCTTAAACCCAATAAGGGAAAATATAAAATGTCCCAAAGCCCTACCTAGGCATAATCGGGTCTTCGGTTTTGGTTTGGTTTCTTAAGCTGAATGCTCTCCTTCGGAGTTTAGGGTTTAGGGGTTTAGGGTTTAGGGTAGCTGAGGAGTTTGGGGTTTGGCCAAGGTGTCCAGCACCCTAACGGAACTAAAGGTAAGCCGTTGAGATTCGATGGGGTTGATAGACCCTAACATCTAAACCCTGAGCGGCACCCCGGAAAGGCTACAGATTACCCATACTCTACTACGAAGTAGGATATGCTGAGGAACATGCTAAGGTTTGCATGTTTCCGCGGTTTACAGGGTTTGGGGACTTTAAAGAATGCACACGGTGCCAAACTTTTGATCTTCAAGTGCTTTACCAAGGGCTCTGCAAACCAGGGCTTGTGGTACAAGGGTATTTCTGAGAGTGCGGGCGTTTCAAGGGTCTGCTCAGGGTGTTCTGGGTGTTTTATATGGGTCGGTTGGGGTTTAGGAACTCGAACGCCGACTTCTTACCAGCTTCCTTGCGAGGCCAGCAGTGTACGTTTCGGCGATTGCGATGATCACTCAGCAAAACTTAGGATTCAGGATTCATGTAGTGTAGGGTTTCAGGGTTCATAGGACTCACAATTTGATGGCACCATGATGGACTGCTAAGATCTACATGTCGTGGTCCACTGGATTCTTTATAAGCCCTAAACGCTAAAGCCATAACCCTTAACCCTTAAACCCCGAACCCTAAACCCGGAACACTAAACCTCAAACCTAAGACCCCTAAACCCGAGACCCACCGCGCCTCTCTGCAATGAGGTCGAAGTTACCTGGGCAAATCTGGGGTCTATCGTTTTAGGGTTTCTGGTTTTAGGGTTTAGCGTTTAAGGTTTGGGGTTTCGGGCTTGTGGTTTAGCGGTTTAGGGTTCAGGGTTTCGGGGTTTGGGGTTGAGAGACAAGGTCGAGCTGCAATTTCCTATGGATCGATCGATCGAGACCAAACTATCAACCTACATATCTACCTGTCTATCTAGCCATCTATCCATCTATCCATCGATCCATCTATCGATCTATCTTCCACATCTAGGTAGATAGTAAGCTCTCTTTCACCTTCAAGCTTGTCAGTCACCAAACAGACATGGGCCCCACAACTTGAAGAGGGAGAAAGCGACGAGGGACAAAAAAGGGCGGCGCATGCCCAGGTTCGGGTCTACGGTTGCTGATATGCATCCTGGCATTGCTGACCCTAAGCCCTAAACTATGGGAATCATGGCATATGTCTTTATTATGGGTAATGCAGATTTATGTCAGCAACCGCAGGACTCAGGCTCTGGGGTTTGAGGCTTATGGTTCCGGCTTTAGGGTGAATAAAGGAGTCCTTATTTACTTGTTGGGGCTCTTACGATGGATCCTACTACTTTGGGGATCAACCCTAAACCGTGAATTGCCCTAGATACACCCGGAGCCCTGCGCTTGAATCCTCAACCCCAAACCCTGCTCCCCCCGTCTATGCAAAGCCAATCGGAGCCCCGTTGCGGGTGAAGGCGTCGGCGAAGCGCCGGAGAGGATGAGTGGGGCTGGTGATAGCCACATCCTTCCTCGGAAGAGATCGTGGGTTTAGGGCGCAGAATTTGGAGTTCACGTTAAGAGAAGTAATGATAGTAATAAGAATGATAACAGTAGGTAATTATAGTAATGATAATTATCATAGTAGCTTGAACAAACCTTGGAGTTATGTTGTAATAACAAAAAATCGAAAAACACAGAAGAAGAGGTAAGCCCGCGAATCCACTGTTATTTTGCATAATGTATTGTGCTATGTCGCAGCGTAGTTGAACCTAGGTGTAGCCGAGAAACCTAAGCCCTAAACCTTAAATCCTAAACTCTAAACCGGCCTGAGCCCAGAAACCCGAAGTGAAGCCGACCAGGCGAGGCCTGACTAAAATCTGATGCCTCGGCGCACTTCCTAAATTCGTCTTCCTTGCGTAAGTGAACTTGTTGTTACGGCTTAGGGTTTTAGGGTTTAGGGTTTCGGGTGGTGGTTCAAGGCCTAAGCACTGTCCAGGCTGTAGGCATTTTAAGGTCTGGGTCGTAGGGATTAGAGTCGCGTCATGGAGGTGCTTGGCAAACTTTTGTGCCAGTTGAGACCTAGATGGGCCCCCTTGAGGGAAGAAGCATCCAACAGGAAAACCCTCATGAGAATGGGGTATAGGGGTGAGGGTTCAGGGCCTACGTCTTGTTTGGTTTAAGTTGGGATGTCGAAATATACAGTAGCACGTTGTAGAACGGACGACATGCTGGGCAACCGGTTGTTGAACCTTAAACTAAACCCCGAATCCTCACGACAGCCGCCCGAAAGCCCAGATTCCACGACGGAGGGCGTCTTCTCAAATTGAGGGAGGTGGAGAAGTCAAGCATCCTACCAAGCCAAGCGTAAAGCTTGATCTAGAGACCTGACGCCATGTATAGAACCCCAAATCCTGAACCCTGAGCCCTGGAGGCCATGAACCCCACAGCACAAACCCAGCACGTAATCTAAGGGCCTTAACTTTTAGAATTGGGTTTTGGGGCCCATTATACTACACTTATAACAAGGAACCCCAAAATTAGTATAGATAACTATTTAAGCCACTATATTAATCCTGAATCCAAGATCTTAAAACCGGAACACCTAAGCTGCGAATAATCCTCGATTCATCCCATGGAGCGACCCGGCTGGCAAAGCCAAGGATCAGCCCTGCGTCGGTCACCACTTGCTCCCTTGCCTTTCGCGCAGTTGAGGGCATACACTGCGAGATCCACGAACAGATCAACATCTGGGGTCTGTGATAGGAGGTCTAGGGGGTTTTCGGGTTTACGCTGGACGATCTGAGCCAGAGTGATGGCTGAGGTCGAACTAGATTCTTGGAAATACTGTTTTGCGACCAGATGAAACGAGAGTCCGATTTTGAAAATCATTAGACTCGTAAACAGTCAAAACCCCCCAAACCGAGCACTTCAACCTCTAAACCCGAAGCCACTCCTAGAGGCTCCAAATATAGTACCATTATGGAGTTAGGTCCCAAAGCCATGATATGGATGGTCTTTTGGGACCTAATTCCATCATGGTACTCCTGGGTTGGCTTTTAAACACCCTGAAAATATTTATATATAGGGCCCCTTATAAACCCAAATAAGGAAAATAAAAAAATGTCCCAAAATCCAACCTAGACTATATTTGGAGTCTCTGACATTCCCTTCGGCCTCCACACCCATCTTCACGCAGGGCACCAAGGTCTTGTCTGCTGCCATGTGGACTTCGGCTTTCTTGACCTCGGCCGTCGCGGTTCATCTCTCTGCTTCTTTACCTGCTGTCGGTTTACAGCTGCAGCAACAAGCAAGGGATCCCAAAATGAACCCCAAACCCTGCATGAATCCTACAGCCCGAAAACTCTAAACTATCGACCCTCGAAACCCCAAGATCTAAATCTTTGCATAAAAGTGCATGTGTCTAAAACCCCGAAATCCGAACCCCCCATCCCGAAATCCCAACCACCTGAAACCCTCATTTAACCGTGTCCAGCCCACCCACCGTGCCTAAATCGCTAAAAGCGGGCCTTGCACCCTAAGCAAAGCCCTAAACCCCATGGAAGCCTTTCCGAACCCCATATCGAAATAAAAAGCACAATAGAGACCGTTAAACTAACCCTAAGCCCAATACCCCAAACCACCCTAAACCCCAACCCCTAAAACCCAATACGCCGAACCCAAAACACCCTAAACCCTAAAACCCTAAGACCCAAACCCTAACCCATAAACTCTAAAGCCCTAAACCCTAAAACCCCAAAGCCTAAACCCTAAAGCCCAAAACCCTGAAACCCAAACCCCATGCCGTGCCAACCGCGCCGCCACGAACCACTCGCGGCCGGCCCAGGGCTGATCCTGCATCCCCATGGCCTCACGAGGCGGACGGGTGGTGGATCTGACAGGTTTGAGGTTTAGGGTTTAGGGTTTAGGATTTGAGGTTTGGGGTTTAGGGTTTAGGGTTCAGGGTTTAGGGTTTAGGGCAGTATTACAATGCACATGCTATCCTAGGCCCATGGCCTCATGAGGCGGACGGGTGGTAGAGCTGACAGTATTACAATGCACATACTGATACGGTTGATGATATAAGTCCTGCATTACCCAAAATAAGAAATATACCAAAGTTCCCATAGTTTAGAGTCCTTAGGGTCATGCAGGGTGTTGTCCATCAGCAGTAGGAGTCAGAGCAACGTTACAAATACCAATAGCAGTAATGGTTATACTGATAGTTATGCAAACTAGTTTGTGGATGGTACTACTAACAAACAAAATGCCAAAGGAAAGGATTATGTTTTCCTGAACACAATGCGAAACATTAATTATACCCATGGCACATGCCTAATTAATCATGTTTACCATCAACCGTTTTGGGATTCGGCTGAAGGTTTAAGCGCAATTCAACATGCTCAGGGTTGAACTGTGCGTACGTGCACATACATACGTACATGCATACATACCGTGCATACACACATATACACTCATGCAGACATACACACACATATGTATATATATATATATGTACACACACATACATGTAGACACCCCTACATGTGTGAAGGCACTCATCCATACACCATCAACCCATCTATATATGCATGCAGGCAGGCATGCATACGTAAATAAACGAAATGCATATGTACAGAATATAGACAGATAGACAGGTAGATAGATAGATAGATGGATAAGTAGTTACATAGATACATATATATATGTATAGTCGACCAGTGGAAAGATTCGGAAACGAAGGGGTAGAATCGAATGGACCTGATCCAAAATGTGTGCGTTCGAAGCCCTTAGGTTCCCAACGGGTCATAGGTACTGTAATGGGGGGGGATACTTCTTCAAATCATAGTCGTAATTTCTACTATAGAAACCCCACAGTCTGCTATATAGGGGTTGACTGCTGTGCCAGCGTTTCCTCATATTCGAATCGTGATGTGCAGCAATAACGGAATACCTTTCAACATCCTGTGTACACTCCCTGCTAATCTCGTGCTCTCTCGTTTCTACTAGTATCTATCCATATGTTGCCAACCATACAGGCATATCAGGCATATCATACAACTACGAATTGCATATGCATGCACACAACGAAGAAATAACGAAAGATGAAAGGAACTGCGAGTTGCAGCTATACTTACGTTGCTGACTTGAGGGGATGCTTGATTTAGACGACATCGGTGAACGAAATTAGGATGAGCTCCTGAACCCTAAACCGCGAAGAGTCCCTAAACCCTAAACGCCAAACAGCCCTGCACCGTCAGCCCGGCTGAAATCGTAGCTACAAGCACGAGCCACTGCAACTGACAACAGCGCCTCGGACCAATCGAAAACGCTCAGCATGCCAACGACAGGCATCGTGTACCTTATTCTTGTTGCCTATCGTATCAGGCCATGCGTCTATATTAGCGCGTACAGCAATACATCAAAGCACGGCATTCAGGGGGTCTCAGTTGGCTTTACCGAGCGCAAGTTCTCAGCTTCTGTCTCCAGGCCACTGCCGGGAACACTTCGTAACCGCCACAGGACCGTTCGAAAAATGCCCCCGTCGCAGGCTAAACCCACATGTCCAGTTAGTACAAAGTACCAAGACCTTCCAATATCCCTAAAGTAAGGAATTTGCCTTAAGTTATACCTAGGATCCCACATACAATTTCCCGTATATTCCACTCGTGAAGGGATAGGGTTTTGGGGCCCACTATACTATATCTATAATAAGGAACCCCCAAAATAGTATAGGTAATTCTTAAGGCCCCTTTGGTGGATACATAAGGCCCGCTATGCACCTGAAAGGATCGAGGTCTCGACGTCCCTACGAATGGGTTTAGGGCTCAGGCGTGGGGCTTAATATAGGGGCCTCAATAATTACCTATACTAATTTGGGGTTCCTTATCGTAAGTCTAGTATAAGGGGCCCCAAAACCTTATTGTAATTATTGAGGCCCCTAAATTAGTGTCTGAGTTTTGGCGTTCAGGATCTAAAACACTCATTGAAATCAGAGCAGAGCATGCGACCTCTGAAAGCCAACTGCCTGAGATCTCCCAAAACTCAAATGGGGAATCCCGCGTGTCAAGCTTTGCGTGGACCTTACCAAAACCTGAAGCTAAATCCTGTAAGCGCCCAACCCATAAACTTTCTTCGCACAGCGGCTTTGAAGTAAATCGGCGAACCTTTTCCTACACCCGAAGCCCACCAAAAAAAAGCCTTCAAGTTCATTTACCATTAGATAAACCACTGTCACACCCGCCAAACCTCCAAAAAGCCTACACCCCAAATCCTAGATTAAAGCCTACACCCCAGCCCTCAACCCCAAACTCCAAAAGGCCCAAAACTCAACACTGAACCCTGAACCTTCGCCCCAAGCCTAAACGCCTAACGCCCGAAACCAAAACCCCAAAACCCGAACCCGAAAACCTCAACTAACACCCTTGAATTGCAGCAAAACACACAAAAATACAGGCCCCAAAACGCCGAGGAGCTCCCCCAGAGCCAACTCCTTCAGGAAGTAGTCGGCCTTTAAAGCCGTGGCTTTTGGCGTGTGCTGCTTCGATACTTTATTGCAGTGGGTATCTAAAGCTTTTCAAGGAAAAATGGCAAGATATAGTGCTTGCAAGGCAGAAAAGGCACTTCAACAATTAGCTACCATAGGGTTTGGAGATGTATTAATATATAGTTACAAAGAGCATTCAGGAATTGTGTGTGGCAATTCTTCAGGCCCCGAAATTACAAGCATATCGTTCACTTAGGCTCCCCAAAACAAAGGTCCAGAATTTGCAGTTTGGGCTGGTCCTGACCCGGAGCGTGAACCCTACAGCGACTTCAGGCAAGAGACGCAGGGATTTTGCAGGCGCTGGGGATGCTCAACCCTAAACCCTAAATCCACATTTCGGCAGCTTGGGGACACTGCCCGTTGATTCACAGCCTAAACCCTGAACCCTAAACCGAACTTCCTTTTTCAGATTGAGAGCTCAAAGGCTCCATGCATCCAACACTTAGCTAACTACTAGCATCTACCAGAGACCTATGGGTAGCTCGCTGGGTTAGGACCCCCTTTAGGGTCCTTCTTATAAGGGTGCCGTATTATTTTGGGGGGCCTGACAAGGGACCCTAATTTCGAGAACTACCCCTTTCCTGGCATGTCTACAAGGCCTGGAACATCACGTCCCCGACGCTGGTCCCCGCCAGCCACTCGGGCTCGAAACCTCGGTGGTGCGCAATCACGCTTCGGATCACCGTGGAGAACCGCCTTTGCCCTGTGCCCTCTCTTGCCACATACTAAAGAAGTCTCTGATCTGCGATGGATGCTTCAACATTGGAAAAAAGGGGACCCTAATAAAGTAGGATCCTTATTATAAGAAACACCCATATGGAGGTAGCCGTCATGTCATCAAATCGAACAGTAAGGAAGACCCGATGAGCATGAGCAAGGTAAGCCAGGTAGACACGAAGAGTAACAGTCGACAAGGGGGAGATACTTGATTGAAGGCTGATATAAGTAGGGTTAAAATATAATTCCATATTCCTGCGCTTATCACCCCACTTACAACTACCCATGAACCTCCAAGTAGAGAGGGAGAAAGGACCTGCAGAAGGGGGATGGTTGACAGACGCGGAAATGCCAGGATACATCTGCAAGGGTACAAGTCCTTTACAGTACGTTACATTGCCTTACATCACGTGAAGGTCCGAGACAGACAGACAGCCAGCTAGCAAGCTACCCATAGGCCCCAATGTAATTCCTTTTTTGGGGTTCATATTTAGAATTTAGAATCCTATAAGGTAATCCCCAAAAGGAACTACTATGGGGCCTATGGGTAGCTGGGAGACAGACAGGGGCTCAAGGAACCCCTTCCTGCGTGCACCCAGGCTGGGGGAACTGTGGGAGCACCGATAGGCGTCCGCATCCCCAAGCTGATATTGGTGTTCAGGGGTCTGGCCTGGCATGTCGGCTTAGTTGACTAGGTGTCGATTTAGACAGTCCCCAACAATTGCTTGTAATGGGTGGTCTCTAATAAACAATAACGGAAACTACAAATTATCCCAAATCGATACCTAGTTAAGACCTGCTAAGGTTTATGTTTTGGGTTTGCGGCTTAAAGGGTTTAGACCAAACGCAAGATCGGGCAGACTCAAGATTCAGGAAAGCTGCGCTTCTTCTGCGCCGTGGTCTCAACATTCCTGGGTAAAGGTTCAGGGATTCCCTAACACTTCCTCCGTGCCGGACATCTTGCAATATAAAAGGAGTATTCCCCAGGGATCAATATAGCCCAAAAGCCTTATAGAGTATGGTCTTAGGGCCCAAAAGCCTTAATATATGAGTCCTTAGATCCCTAGGGATTGAAAAGACTTGGGGGCTTCCCCCATCCACAGGAAACTGCTCTGACTTCGGGCTCAGTCCATGGATTTCTGCCCAGACGTGGATGCTTCGTTGCCCGGCGCCTTCTGGCTTTAAAGCGAACCCTACGGGTCCATGTACTTATATAGTATATACATTGGCCTCAATGTAGTCCCTATTCAGGTACTTTGGGACCCAAGTACATGGTATATGAGTACATGGACCCTTTGGGGAAGGTAAATTTTGCTTTGTCAGATCGAAACCCTGACCCCTGAGCCCTCAAGCTCCTGAACCCGTAAAGCCCTGAAAGTATCTCTAAATCCGTACCGCTGTGCTAAGGCATGCTCTTTCGTAAGCAACCTTCAACCGGCATCGCGACGAAATGCCTGCCCCGTAAACCGCGAACCCCCCAAACACTATGTCCCAAATCGCTGAAAATCCCCAAGCCCTGTCCCCTCAAACCCTAAGTGCCCCAAACCGCGAAAAAAAAACCCTACGGAAACCTCCTCAACCCAAATAGCGACAGGTGTCTTGGGATCAACGGGATCCAGGGAGAAGAGAGGCTCGCGTCTCGATTCCCGGCGAACCTGGCAGGTTTAGGGTTTATAGTACTTGGAGGATCATGGGACTTAGTAAGTAAGGTTATAAGTACATTAATTGGGGTTATAAGTATAGTTACTCTAACTATAACCCTAGTTACTAAGTCCCATGATCCTTTAAGTAGGGTTTGGGGTTTGGGGTTTGGGGTTACGGTTTAGGGTTTAGGGTTTAGGGTTCAGGGCAGGGCGACCCTGGGAGAAAACACTTGGGCATGGGGCTGTTGCAGTTGCGAGGCTCAGGGTTTAAAGTTTAAGGCTCAGGGTTTTAGCATTTAAGGTTTAGGGTTCACCTTTGGGGGTTTACGGTTCAATAAAGTAATCAAGGTTTAGGGTTTAAGGCTTACGGTTTGATTAAGGTTTCGGGTTTAAGGTTCGCGGTTTAGGGTGCTAAGGGCTGAGGAGGCTTTAGGGCTAGGGTTTCGGGTTTAGAGTGGGTTAATTCGAGGTTGAAATCTTGCCTGCACCTCGTCATCCTTCTCATGCCTTCATGCAAGACAAGGGTGTATTGCTGTTGGTGATGTCAGTGGTGATGGTAAGACCGGGAACGATATCAACTCTGGCAGTTGTGATGGTGATTCCTAAAAAGCAGAACCATACCCTAAAAGCCCAAACCCTAATTCCTAATTGCCCTAAAAACCAAAACGTTCGACCCAAAATCCGAAACTCCGAACCCTAAACCTGACACCCTAAACTCCAAACTCAAAATCTGGGTGCTTGTTAAAGGACTTAGTTAAACTCAAGTTACCATATAGGGCTCTATAGTAAATACTACGGTTCCTTTTTATGGTAACTTGAACTGAATCCTTTAACAAGAACCCAGTCGATCCGGCCTTGAGGGCAAGGGCCAGGTACTCCAGGTTCACCGCCGCTGCCGGCTCGGCCGTTGGCGCTACGCGGATGGAACGCGAAGCCTGATGCGACCAGGTGTCGGACGAGGAGGCTCGGGAACTCTAATTTACTAAGACTGGACCAAACCCTAATACCTTAAACCCTAAATCATAAGAACCCTTAGGGGCTGTTTTCTCATAATATACTCAACTCTTGTGAGCCCTTAAGCCCTAATCCCAATGTTACCAACCAAACACCACATCTTCAATACGCTAAACCTATGTCACCAAGCCATACCTTAACCCAGAATAACCTACCTTTTTCATGACTTATATAAAGAAATCCTGATAAGGAACCCTAAAAATGTAGGTCATTCAAGGCTAAGTTTACCTTAGCCGGGCTAAAGTAAACCCTATACTGAACTTAGAACCCTAGCAAAAATTGTTTTTTGCTGTTTCTTACGGATTATAATAGCCAAAAATTAAAAAAATATTTCTAATCACCCCTAAGAACCCTAGATCCTTCAGAGTGGCTTTCGGGCTCTGGGGCTTCAACGCTTAGGAGTCCGAGGGTCTCTCCGAGGTCTTGCCCCAAGGGTCCAAAGGACCCAGGGTTTAGGGTTTAGGGTTTAGGGTTTAGGGTTTAGGGTTTAGGGTTTAGGGTTTAGGGTTTAGGGATAGCTCCATCTACCCTCTATTAGACCCTAAATGCCCCTTATTTGGGACCATATACCCCTATTTGAGGGTACGAGGAGGGTCCTGGTATGTAGGTTAGGATTTTGGAGAGTATATGATTATTGGGTACTTGGACCCTTGGGGTTGGGGCCCGCCGGATTCGGAATTAATTGTAGGAGCTGGGGTTTAGGATTTAGGGGTTTAGGGCCTGTTTAGGGGTTAGGGGTTTAGGGGTTAGGGGTTTAGGAGTTATGGGTTTAGGGGTTTAGGGGTTTGGGGGATAGGGGTTTAGGGTTCAGGGCCTGGAGTTTAAAGTTTGGGGTCAGTGTAGGGACCGGATTGAGGAACCCTGGGCTTATAACCCCAAACTATTGGGATTCGTATAAAAGAAGCCTAATAAAGGCCCAAGGTTTCTTAATCAGGTTCCTACATGAGGGTTTAGGGTCAAGCGGAAGATGAGTTTCGAGCTTCATGGCTTTAAGGTTGTCAGTTCAGCTTTTGGTTTCGCCGTCAGGACCGGTATGCGTGCTTGATTGGGAGCTCTTGATATCATCTTCACGGTGTATCGCTAGTCGAAGCTAGCGTCACAAGACCGTACTAACACATAGGATCATGAACAATTCGTGCGCCGTCGCAATCTGGAGGCATAGTCCACAACGGGGAGCAGACGACCCGGCCAAAAGAGCTGACAAGGGCCTTGCACCTACTTGGACAGTTGATTTGGGAACAAACGGTTAACGTTGGAGATGGTATAGGAACGAAACTACCACCGAAAGGTCAGACACATAGAGGAAGCGCGGCGCCAAAACATGATATTCTATATATGGCGGCTCCCAGAGGGAAGGTTGTGCCTGGTGCAGCTCTACGGCTACTGTACTGTCTCTCGAACTGTTGCAACAGGCGGAAGGTCCACATTGTAGGGTTTAGGGTCTTGGGGTTTTCTACATCACTTCACACTTGTTGTCTGACCGTCTGGCTGCCTGCCTCGTCCCAAACGAGGCAAGTAAGGCCCCTGCAACAGGAGCCCACTGCTAGCTTTCCATGGGTGATATGATATGATACTATACGGTCTTATACGGTTGATATGGTATGGCATGTTATGATAAGATACGGTATGACCTGACAACGACATGGCGTTGTGCAATGTTGCATTGTAATTCTAACATACTGTATGGCGTTATATTGTATTTTGTTATGTACTTTATCATAGTTTGTCGGGCTCGAAGCTAGGGCCTTGGTTGCCGGCTGCTGGTTCTGGAGATAAAGAGACAGGACTGAACCCTGCAACCCGAAATACTAAGCCGTAAAGCGGAAAACCTAAAGCCCAAACCCGAAATCCTAAACCCGCTATCTGTCGATATGATTCGGAACTAACGGCTTGGGTTTCGTTTCGATTCCCATCGATGCATGTTCGGAATGCGTGCTAGTCATAGAAACCTATGGGGCCTGCAAAGTTGAAGCAATAGGAGTCCGTGAATGTAAGCGGCCCTAATCATTACATACACTCGCTTGGAGGTTCCTCATCATGATATGATTACAGCATAATGGGCCCCAACACCCTATTCTAACCATTAAGGCCCCTATACTAATGGTCAGAAAATAAAGGGACACCATGCTGTATTTGTCGACAAGCTGACATCGGCACGCTGGTTCTTGTATGCATGGGTAAAGTAGAAACACGCACAAGAGCGTGCATAAGAACACGTCAGATATACTTTCAGAGGCGAAAATAACAAGATAAGACTTAGACTTGAAAAACGTCTACTACTAATCTAGCCGAGTATGAGTGTATATCGGCATACGATGTGGTGCCTCTCTTTCCGGGCGTTTTGGGCCGGTCAAAATTCGCCATCTCCCTTCTTGCCTTCATCGCTCCTGAGAGGACTGCTACGCCCCGTATTAACAACAGACTACCCTACCCATAGGCTCCATAGTAGCTCCTTTTAGGGATTACCTTACAGAATTCTACTTATGAACCCCAAAAAGGAGCTACTATGGGGCCTATCTCAAGGCTGAAGACCCGAAACCCCAAAGCTGACAGCCTAGCCCGGAATCTCAGACAAAAGGAAAGAATGCTGGCATTATCTTATCCATGGCTCTTCCAACGCACAGCAAAAACGAAATGAAACCAAGGGATACTGTAGGAGTCACTATAGGGGACATTCTAAAGGATCCATAATTTTATAAGATTGTTACAAGGGTGACAATGAGAAAACGAGGACCGACTGTTCTCATCAAAACCGCTGTTGCGACTGTTGTCATCAAAACCGCTGTTGCCACTTGCTCCTATACCGACTAGCACTATTAGCGCCGTTGCAAGTAGAACCATGACGAGCAGCTGTGCCGTCAGTACATCATGTGACGATGACAACCAATACAATCACACAGCTAATCATAAAAAACCGCACATCTGAGACAACTCAGGCAGAACAGTACGAGCAATAAACATGTTTCTGAAACACATACTGCCTTAAATGCAAAAGCAACACATGTGATGATAGTGACAATGGGGAGGCACTGAAGAGGAGTATTGAAAGGAAACATACAAAACAGAGAAACGCTGAGAAGAGCAATAGGAGAAAGACTGCATGAAGATGGCTAAGACTTGGCAGAGTCAAAACAGAACATGCACCAGAACCAAGGAGAGCACAGTGCCACTACAAATCGCGAGAAGAATAGACCCTATAAACCCCTAAACTCCACATGCATAAACCCTAAACCCTAAACCCCAAGTTACACTCTAACCCCTCAACAATAACAAACCTACACCCTAACCCCTAAACAAACGGAAGAGCATCGACTGGAGCCTGAGCTCGCCGAAGCCCAGCTGCTCTGCCAGGGGGGCACTGCAGGGCACCAGCCTGAACTGATGTGTAGAGGTTTAGGGTTTAGGGTTTAGGCTTAGCGCGTGGGAGTTCAATGTCTGTGTCTATGTAAAGACACAAGCAACACGGTGCTACCTGTAACTTATACTACCGCACCATACAACAGGATATCTCATAGGAATGGGTGTATGCGGGTACGTGTGCGTGTATGTACGTATGTATGTATGCATGTATGTATGTAGTTATGTAGTTATGTAGATATGTACTTATGTAGCTATGTATTTACGTAGTTATGCACGTATGTGTGTAATGTTGGGTCCAGATTAACAACCCCCCCCCCCGCTGTCAAGGTTAGCCCGCTTGAACTTGTTCATGGGTTCAAGTTTTTCCCGCCCCCCCCGATTATGTGGGGATGGGGTTAATTATTAAGTATAGTAGTAAGTAGATAGAGAGTACTTAGTAAAGTATTGCAGTCGTACAATAGGAGTACAGTAGTATAGTAGTAGTACAGTAGTACAGTAGTAGTACAGTAGTAGTACAGTAGTATAGTAGTATTACAGTAGTAAAGTAGTAGTACAGTAGTACCGTAGTAGTACAGTAGTATAGTAGTACTACAGTAGTATAATAGTAGAACAGTAGTATAGTAGTAGTACAGTAGTTTAGTAGTAGTATTGAAGTCTAGTAATAGAAGCAGTACAGTAGTATAGTATTATTACAATAGGGGGTTGGGGGTTTGAAGGGGTTCAAGGACTTGAGGGGGTTGAGGGGGTTGGGGGTTTGAAGGGGTTCAAGGGCTTGAGGGGGTTGAGGGGGTTGGGGGTTCAAATGTGGCCGGCCATGAGCTTGCCATCAGCTCAAGTGCCCGCATAAGCTCCGCATCCCCACCCATCGACAGCCATGAGCTCGAACATGAGCGGCAACGAGGGAGCCATGGGAACCATGGCTGAGAAACTGGGGCATGATTGGCAATTATGAGTACTTGGTTAATTAATTACTTAGGATTTGGTCATTAGTAATTCATTAATTATTTGGAGCCGAGGATGGGCCAGCTGATGAGTCAGATCCATGGGTTGCTCCATAACATGGAGCGGCGAGCCGTCATGAGCCAGATAAGTAAGTATCTTTTGTATTTTAAATTAATTAGTTAATGAGGTATTACAGGTTTAATTACATTTGCCTTGAGCCAAGGACGAAGTCCATGGCTCCTTCCGCGATCGCCTCCGCCATGTTGCTACCAGGCTCATGGCGGGGAGATCATGGGTTTTGGTGAATTGGCAGTGGCTCGGACCGTCAGTAGTAATTAATTAGTCATGATAAGAATGTAAATTACATATTTTAAGCTCTGAAGCCCATACATGAGGCAATGGCGCTGCGATCAGTGGATGAGGGATGAGCTCCTCCACACATGGATGCTCTATGCTCCTCGCCTGGTATTAGTGTTTTTTAAATAATATGTAATTAATTAGGGTTTAGGGTGCAATTAGGATTGGGTTTAGGAGTGCTTGGGGTTTGAGTTCGTGCATGAGGAGTACGACATCGTCATGAGCCACCCCATGCTGCATCGCCATTGGCCCATCATTTGCACGGTGGCATGGGTCGAGGCCCCTGCCGAAACCCTAAAAACCCCTAAACAAAACCCCCTAACCCCTGTAAACCCTAACCCCACAACCATAACTAATTATCCCTAAACCCTAAACCCTGCAGGTGAATCTGGCATTGTTCCGGACATATGCCTATGACAGCGATGAGTCTGGATGCTGCACTAGTTCCTTTTTTAATTAGGGTTTAGGGTTTAAGGTTTAATTAGGGTTAATTAAACCCTCCTAAGTAAACCCTACTTAACCCCTACTTTAATTAACATAATTAAACCCTAAACCCTAAACCCAGGCTGTATGATCCTCGCAATGATGAGATCAGCGATAAGTTCATGGTCATGAGCGAGGTGCAGCAGAACATGGAGTCGGCCATGAGGACAGCCTTCATAATTAAGAGTAATTAGAGCCCAAACCCCATAAGGCCCAAAAATCCAACCCCATCAGGACGGAGATCTTTGAGCTGGCATCATGGGAGACTGTCATGGGCGACATGAGAGGCAGCTCAGGGAATAATTTAAGTATCAATTTTCCATAATTTGTTACGGTTAATAGATTATTGAGAAATAAGTTATGGTAATTTATTAGTTAGCTAGTAATAAGATTCAGCCGAGGCAAGCATTGGCTGATCAAAAGCTGGCACGGCATGGGCCGTTCCCAGCATGAGCCGGCCAAATTCAGAGCATGGGTTGAGACCCATGGGCCAGAGCCCAAAGCGATCATGCGGTCCTACCATGGGCATTTCATGCCCATTGAGGCGGAGGCATGAGCCCTCAGCCCGGCCATGAGTCCATGAGGAGATGGGCTCGTGTATGAGCCATAAGGCTTTAGATCCCATGAGGAGATGGGCTTTTTTTTAAAGCACCCATGACGCCAGCCATGAGGGGATAAGATTAGTCTTTGGGTTTGTTCGGGGTTTAATTAAGGTTTAGGGTTTAGGATCAGGTTAAGCTCGGCACAGCGCCGCATGAGTAAGTAATCAATGCATGAAGCAGCATGGCATTTTTCATGGGTGCGATGAGGGGATGGCTTTCTGATCTTCGCATGAGAGCAGCGAAACACATGGGGAGGGTGGGGCCCTTACTTAGAGGATCATGGGACTTAGTAACTAGGGTTATAATTAGGGTAACTGTACTTATAACCCCAGTTAGGGTACTTATAACCTTACTTACTAAGTCCCATGATCCTCCAAGTAGTTAATGCCAAAACTCAAAACCCCATACTGCCCTTATCTCTAAACCCTTTAACTACACCCTAGACCCTCAACCTTAAACCTTAATTAAACCCTTTTAACTTAACCCTAAACCCTAAAACCCTAAACCTTAAACCCCAAAACCCTAAACCTTAAACCCTTGTAACCAATTAAACCCTAAAACCCTAAAACCCTAAACCTAAAGTTCTTCTAAGTAAACCCTCAAACCCTCAACCTGAAACCCTTGTAGCTAAACCCTAAACCCTAAATCCCTAAACCTTATATAAATCCTTGTAAATAACCCGTAAACCCTAAAAACCCAAACCTGACACACTGCTGCGGGCATGAGCTGCATGAAGCCGCACAAATGCAGTGCCTTGGATGAGCTGTGGGCATGAGCTGCATGACACCGCTTACATGCAGTGCTTTCGATCAGCTGTGAGCATGACAAGCATTGTGGATGAGCTGCGGGCATGAGTTTTTGATAAAATGTGATTTTGAGCTTTAATTAGGCATTTGTTTCATTAAGTTTCACATTGTGCCTTTTTCATGACATAGGTTTTCAAGTGAGTGTGCATCTGTATCACGCCATGGTGTGGAGCATCAGTCTTCGTGAGCAGGTGACATGCCACAACAGGTTTGCCATCCTGTCGCAACCAGATGAGGATGAAGATGAGCTCCTTGCTTTGAACGACATGTTCTTCGACTGGGATGAGCTGGAGAACAGGTGGAATGAGATGAATGAGCCTTGGGAGCTTCATGATTTTTCCTTCATGGGGAGGTTCTCATGGTCCGATGAGTCAGAGAAGACTGGGGTTGCTCAGCATGTTTACCAGCACGAGCATGTCAACAGCATGAGCCGCAGCAGCAAGGGCATGAGAGAAGTGAAGAAGCATGTTGTTGTGAGAGACAAGAAAGCAGCATGCAGTGAGCCCATGCCTCAGATCATGCCAGCTCCCATTCGAGATGAGGGCTTGCGGCAGAGGCTGCATGAGAGCATTCTGAGCATGCAGTTGACAAGGCATTCGCAGTACCATGCGATTCGCAGCATCATGAGAAAGGCATTCAAGACGCATGCGAAAAAGGAGCGACGACTCAAGCGCCAGCATGAGCAATTGAAGACCTCTGCATTCTTCGATTGGGACGAGTTAGATGCTGCTGAAGACAATGAGCTGAGCAAGCGACCAAACTCATGGTTCGATTGGGATGAGCTGAGTTCTGCTGAAGCCATCAGCAAGGCCAGCATGGGGAAAGCATGTAATTGTGCCTGCGATGAACATGTTTTCCGTCTCTGATATACTTATTCTCCAATCCTCATTCCTTATATCTCTGATATTCTCCAATGGAAATCCTTTATATCTCTGATATATTCTCCAATCCTCATTCCTTGTATCTCTGATATTCTCCAATGGAAATTCTTTATATCTCTGATATATTCTCCAATCCTCATTCCTTATATCTCTGATATTCTCCAATCGAAATTCCTTATATCTCTGATATATTCTCCAACCCTCATTCCTTATATCTCGGATATTCTCCAATCGAAAGTCCTTATATCTCTCATATATTCCCCAACCCTCATTCCTTATATCTCTGATATTCTCCAATCGAGAGTCCTTATATTACTGATATATTCTCAAAGCTTCGGGCTTTCTAGGTCAAAGCCAAGGGCCTGCAAATCCCTGGTCCCGGGCCGGACCCTGTTAATCGGGGTGGGTTTCCTGCTATTCTGGGGGGGGCGGGGCCTGCAAAGGGGTAGCCTTGGAAAACTTGACAAACCTACTCTTTTTATATACGGTTTAATTAGGGAACCACCTGTTTCTGGCAGCAGAAGATATCACCGAAATCCCAGGGATCCCAAGGCCAGGGATCTCTGACCCTTCCATCTCAAAGCTTCGGGCTTTCTAGGTCAAAGCCAAGGGCCTGCAAATCCCTGGTCCCGGGCCGGACCCTGTTAATCGGGGGGGGTTTCCTGCTATTCTGGGGGGGGGGCGGGGCCTGCAAAGGGGTAGCCTTGGAAAACTTGACAAACCTACTCTTCTTATATACGGTTTAATTAGGGAACCACCTGTTTCTGGCAGCAGAAGATACCACCGAAATCCTAGGGGTCCCAAGGCCAGGAATCTCTGACCCTTCCATCTCAAAGCTTCGGGCTTTCTAGGTCAAAGCCAAGGGCCTGCAAATCCCTGGTTCCGGGCTGGACCCTGTTAATCGGGGGTTTCCTGCTATTCTGGGGGGGGCGGGGCCTGCAAAGGGGTAGCCTTGGAAAACTTGACAAACCTACTCTTTTTATATACGGTTTAATTAGGGAACCACCTGTTTCTGGCAGCAGAAGATATCACCGAAATATCCCAGGCCAGGGATCTCTGACCCTTCCATCTCAAAGCTTCGGGCTTTCTAGGTCAAAGCCAAGGGCCTGCAAATCCCTGGTCCCGGGCCGGACCCTGTTAATCGGGGGGGGTTTCCTGCTATTCGGGGGGGTCGGGGCCTGCAAAGGGGCAGCCTTGGAAAACTTGACAAACCTACTCTTTTTATATACGGTTTAATTAGGGAACCACCTGTTTCTGGCAGCAGAAGAAATCCCAGGGATCCCAAGGCCAGGGATCTCTGACCCTTCCATCTCAAAGCTTCGGGCTTTCTAGGTCAAAGCCAAGGGCCTGCAAATCCCTGGTCCCGGGCCGGACCCTGTTAATCGGGGGGGGTTTCCTGCTATTCTGGGGGGGCTTCCTGTCTGCTATTCTGGGCAGAGAAAAAGATAATTAATAAATTCTCTTGCTTCTGCTTGTGCAGGAGAAGGCAGAAAGGGAGTACTGGCGAAGCATGATGCGAATGAGGGGAGGCGGTGATGAGTCGCAGCATGAGCAGGAGCAAGAGAATGAGGAGACAGCCATAGTCCTGGACGATGAGGACAAAGCCCTCTCCCAGACTCCTGTGGCAAAGAAAGAAGCGGATGAGAGCATGAGCCCACCCACGGACCGTGTCAAGCGACAGCTGAGCTTTGGATCGGCTTCATCAGCCGAGTCCAAGCAGTCAAGGCTGCATAAGTTCTTCCGGTCTCCGTCATCCTTCTCTGACGACAGCAGCATCCATGAGACGCCCAGTCCGCCGCCCAAGAGGCCAAGAAATCGCATGGAAGACACTCTTCGTGAGATGTTGAAGAGTGGGCAGCTGTCGCTTGATGGGAAGAAGCTGACCCTGACAGCCCATGAGGATGTCATCCCAAACCTGCAGCAGGAGGTGGGCAAGAAGTTTGGGAGGTTCGGAGGTCGGCCCATGAAGCCGGTCAGCGAGAGGAGAGGGGTCATGGGTGGCCAGAAGTCCAACCGGAGAAAGGCCAATGAGAAACCTCGGCAGTTTGAGTTGCCTGTGTCCATGAAGAACCGCATCTGCCAGCAAATCTATGAGACCCGTGGGCACCATCCCGCCGAGCAAGACATGCTCAAGGCCTTTGCAAAGAAGAGCAAGATGAGGTTGGACAAGGTGCAGGACATCTGGGCCAACAGGAGCACATGGGCTCAGCTCGAAAAGAAGGACCATGGCAACATGATGGGTGGGGAGCAATCCAAGCAGAAGCCAAGGATGAGAGCAGAAGGTGCTGGCGCCAAGCGACAATTCCCTCATGTCGTCCAGAAACTTGGCCATTGGCTTGACAAAGAACGAGCCCATGGTCATCAGGTGCTGCAGCGACACCTGGCATGGCAGTATGAGCTGCTCCTTCAGGAACACATGCTTGAGCTTACGGAGCCGCTTGAGTCTGAGAAGAGTAAGGACATGAGCACAGAGGAGCGGCACCAGCATGAGGTGAAGCTAAAGCTTGCAGAGAAGCAGATTGAGGCCATGCATGGGAGCGAGAAAATGCTGAACAAAAGGGCAAAGACATTGGCCACATGGCTTGGGGCTGAGACGAGGGTTCCAAACCTCGTGACCCAGATAAGTTCCGTGGAGCAGCAGGTGAGGGCTGAGCTCTCGTGGCAACACCATGACTGGTGCATTCACAAGGTGGCATCAGCAGATGAAGACTTCATGAGACAGTACTTTGCCAGGCCCAATGAGATCACCCCAGCCTTTAGAAAGGCATGTGTTCTGGGCTTCTCCGATCAGGTGCCACTCTGGCTGAAGTCTGGGTCCAAGAAAGAAATCATGGCTTCATGGGAAGTAGCAGGCCTCAAGAAGAAGAAGCAGCATCCGCACCTGCATGAGCCGCAGCAGACTGCAGATGAGACAGACCCGGCAGCTGAGGAGCCTCATGAGGAGTCGAAAGCTGAGGAGCCTCACGAGGAGTCGAAAGCTGAGGAGCATCATGAGAAGCAGCCACATGAGCAGGAGGAACCAGGTGATGAGTGGAAGCTCGCGATGCCAGATGAGAAGCATGAGATGGCCCATTTGACCACCCGTCGGCAAGAGAAGGCCGATAGGTACAGGGTCACATTTGAGGCCATGCAGCTCGTGAGCGGCTTCTTCGACCATGAGAAGACCCCCGAAGCACTGCATGAGAGGCATTCTGATAGTTCCCGGCCAGCATGCACGGTTGGATAACATTGACGAGCATGGGAAATGGAAAGAGGATGAGACATTCTTCTACATGGGTCAAGAGAAACGCCACATCAGAGGTGAGAGCTGCGGCCGAGCTCTCATCAGCTGGCGAAAGCTGCGAGATGAGATGCCACAAGCATTCCGGCATTTCTCCGTCATGAGCCAGCCTGCATCCAACAGTGATGGGATTTGCCTGCCATGGGTCATAAAGGATCAGGCTAGGCAGTTCCCATTGAGTGTGTGGATGAGGGATGCGCATGGGCCTGCATTCACATCAGATACGGTCAAGACCCTCTTCATGGGGCATCAGGTTCAATCGAGCATCATGCCTAAGATGACATCAGCATTACAGCTGACTGACACAGATTTCTCACATGCCTTTAAGGCATCAGTGAGAAGAGCCATCGATGAGCAGAGCATGAGGCAGGCGGCTCGCCGGAATGAGGAGGATGGCCACCATGAGCAGCAGTTCCCGAAGATGGGCATCAAGGAAATGGCATTGGCCATCGACGCTGCCATGGAGCACATGATCCAGATGAATGAGAAGACGGAATGGGTCTTGGCTGGGCTCCGCCGCAATGGGTTCTTGGCCATGAGACCTGATGAGCATGGCAAGATGAGGAAGTGCGATCACGAGGCATGGGCCAAGGACAAGCCATTGGGGTGCAAGAGGATCCATCCGACATGGGTCGCCAATCGGTTCCAGCATGAGAACAATGGAGACATTGAGAAACCCAATTGGGCTCGCATTGAGGGAGCCACTGAGTTGAGTGACCTGGCCCATTGGCACTACAACGATGGGTTCAAGGATGCCCCAAGCTGGGAAGACATCCCATTTGATGACCATTCCGAGCCTGAATGGCAGATGTGCGCCCAGTTCCAGCTGCCATTAGACCTGAGAAGGGCCATGCTGGCAAGAGAGGCGACCATGAGCGATCAAGCCAAGGCAAAGAGGGAGAAGAGAAGAGAGAAGAATAAGACCAAGCGGCAGAAGAAGCAACAGGAGCATCAGCTCACGGATGAGGTCCGGGAGGAGCTGAGAGCAAGCATGAAGGAAAACTCCAGGCTCCTCGCCCTTCCTACTTGCCCTAAACCCCCATGAGACTCTCCTCCTGTCATGCCACCAGCCAAGGTATGCAGCCATGAGGGATCTGCCAGCATCGGCCTCCAAGAGAGGCACGCCGAAGGCCCAGGCCAAGCCCAAAGCCAAGGCCAAGGGCATGAGCTTGGGCAAGGTGGGCAAGATGGCCAAAAAGCAGCATAAGAAGCAGCTCAAGAAAGACTCATTGAGCAAAGCGGTGGATGAGCTCCCTGAGCCGCCATTGCCTCCGCCACCCGGCCCACCAGCTATGAGTGCTGACACTGGCGAGCATGACATGACCAAGGGCACATGGAGGATAGTCAATGAGGCCTGTGGGTTCGAGAGAAAATTAGCTGGTTGAGCAAAGCCCATCATAAGCTCTCCCTAGCCGCAGGACGCTGGCATTTCGCTGTATGGGCGGCATGGGTCCATTCTGGGTGTCGGCCGCCAGAACTGCCACATGCTGCTGGAGAAGGACCATTTCTTCCCCAAGCAGCAGAAGGCATGGGTCAGCAAGAGCCATTGTGAGCGATTGCCAGAGGGTGAGCATAAGGTGTGGAAGTGGGCCCAGATGAGCTTCTACAAGGCCTGGAAGCAGGAAATGCTGCTTGACATGGGGCTCTTGAGCCAGGACCTGGATCAGCTGGATGGGCTTGAGCAGGTTCACATCCTCCCATACCCAGCCATTCAGGCCGGCGGCATAGAGCTGCAACATCTGCATTTGGGCTGGCGAGTCCTGCTTTGGCACATGCTCCAGAGCTCAATGCCCTGCAAGAGCATGGGCTTCATTAGTCCTGGATGGACACGGCCACTATATCTTCATCATGACAATGCCAAAGTGGATGTGGATGCATTCATTGAGTGCATCAAAAAGCAGATGAGTGCTCATACATTGAACTTCCTCCCCGTGGGGTCTGCTGGGCACTGGGTTTTGCTCGTCATAGATGCGACACATGAGTCTGAGACCCCGAAAGTGAGGCACACCATGCTTTTTCCTCCTTTTCCCAATTATAAGGCAGAGTTGTGCATGGGGACTCCTTATTTCGCATTCGCTCGCAGAGCCAGCCCTGAGGTACTATGACTCCCTGCCGGATGAGTCCCAGCGATGCAGGGACTACGCTGAGAAAATCTTGGCATCCCTGCTCTCCATGGGCCTGCTGCATGAGGCAGTGCTGCCTCCTCGCAGCAACAAGGTCTTCCAGGGAGTCGATGAGTGCGGATTCCATGTTCTGGCTGCCATGGAGCAAGAGGCCGCAAAAGCCATGGGGTTTGGAAAGGCCAGCACTGGGTGGCCTTCGCATTCAGCGAAGAAGTGGCATGAGCGGCTGCATAAGGTCACAAATGCTCTCCGCACTGAGCAGACCAAGCGACTGGATGAGCTGAACCAGCATAAGAAGAAGGAGGAGGCCTTGGGAATCAAGATACTCGGACCTTTAGTACTTAGGCCCATTTTCCCTTTTGTAATTAGTCTTCGACATACACGGACCCTTTTCTTCCTGGGCTTCCCAGGATGAGAAAAGAGCGAGAGCACATGGCGGCCATGGCTGAGAAGCGCATGAGCAAAGGCCTTGAGCTGACTCAGCTTCAGAAGATGGCCCATGAGGTCATTAGCCAAGGCAAAGTCCTTGAGATCGAGGACATGCGTCAGGCATACTGGGATGAGAGAAATCGAATCGAACTCCATGAGATTGGAGTCTGCAGCCGCTGCCGGCATGCCTCAGGCTGCCTGAGCTGCGATGAGGGTAAGCTCCTCGCATACTGGATGAGGAAGGAAGCCCGCAGATTGGGCAGGAACATTGCCCCTAAGTACAAACTCAGCTCTGCTGGACATGCGCTGGTCTAATGAGGAAAAGTCTGCCATCATGAGTTCTTTACGGTTGAGGCTTCAGGGTTTGGGGTTTAGGGTTAAGTCATATGCCTCTAAATCCCCTAAATCCTTATTTCGAAGATTTTCGGGGATGGCCCCGTCTAATCGGGGGGGGTTTAGGCGAGCTCCGGTACTATAGGGGTGGGGTCTAATGGACTTCTTCATTAAGCCCATGACATGCCCGGGACGGCCCCGTCTAATCTGGGGGGGTATCTTAATCTGGAAACGACATTATGTATGTGTGTCTGTATGTATGTGTGTGTGTGTGACTGTGTGTGTTTGGTTGCTCGTTTGTTTGCTTGTTTGTCTGCTTGCAGTAGGTTTGATTGTGCGCTTGCCTTTTGATTGTACACATGGATGCATTTATGCATAGCAAGTATATGCGCATATGTGCATATGTATGTATGCATGTACGCAGGTATGTAAGTATGTATATACATATATATATATATGTGTGTGTGTGTGTAGGTATGCCATTGTGTGTCCTTTGCTTGTACACATCGATGTATACATACGTAGCACGCATATGCATATGCATATGCATGTGTGTACGTGTCGCAGTATGTGTGTAGGTATGTATGCATCTGTACAAGCACCTATGCAAAACCAGATCTGTGTGCGTGCACATACAAACATATATGCATGCATACATTCACACATACAAACACCTCGCATAAACAAATAGGCATCTACACATTTTTTGAACTACCACCATGCTTAGAATGCAACGCCCTGATTCAGAGCAAGCCGTAAGGCACGAGATAACATCAGCTTCAATCCAGCTTCGACGTGTTCATGAAGCCACTCCCCAGCACCAAGACTTCGCAGCGAAGGCACGAGGTTGACCACCCAATGTCGTGCTCAGCTCCTCGGCTTCCGAAAGCTGTAATATCGAAGCCTCAAAAGTTGGAATGAAGTTTTGGATTATGATGGTGGTAATGGAGACGACAAGGGTCAAAAAGGGGGATCTTACACTAACTATTCCGACCCGTGTATTCGAGTCTGGAGGACTCAAGCTAGGCCGGGGTTTGCGGGTTGAGGTTTAGGGCCGAGGCACTGGTAGGGTTCCACAAGTGTCGGTTGAAGTACTGGCTAAGGTGTGGTGTTTTGCGGAAGGCTTAAGATGCTTTTCCTGTCAAACGGAGACCGACCCTCAACATGGAACATACAAAAACGGCAATAACAGGAAGAATTATCTATTCAGGCCTCTACGTAACGCTCATCCAACTGTTGATCCTACGTCTCACGTCGAAAGCAGCATGTAGAAAAAGTGCTGACGATACAAAATGTCCTTTTAATTAAGGGGCGCACAGGTATCTGACATTATGGGAGTTCGCTCCATGCTCGTTTCGAGGAGGGGGAGCCCTCAAAACGGCCAACTCGGGTTGAGGGTATCAATGTCGGGGCCTTAAGAAGCAGAGCAGGGTTTTGGGGCATATCATACCATAATTAGAATAAGGAAGCCCCAAAAGCCCGGGTTCAGGGGCTTAGGGGCTTAGGGTTTTTAGGGGTTTAGGTTTGGGGTTCAGGGGCTTAGGGTTTAGGGGTTTAGGGTTCAGGGGTTTGGGGTTTAGGACCCCCAAAAACCCTATTCCAATTATTATAAGGCCACTAATGTTACCCTCTGGCGCGCGACGAGGGCTCCCCTGCTTGCTTCTCGAAATCGTAAGGCCCTGCTGGTCTACTGGGCCTATGTTACGTTAGGTCTGAACAGCTCTGTTGAATCTATATAGACACGCTTTAGGGCTTAGGGTTGAGAGTTTTCGACATAGAAACAGACCCAAACATATATGTAATGGCTACTACTATGCATGTTTGTGTTTGGTGTGCAGAAGAACATGGTAACTAGGCAATCTGCTTTGCACTTATCTAAATCTAAAGCCGACGGTATAGCTATAAATGAAATCCTGTCAATATGCGAGCAGGATACCTACCGCTCCTGTCAAAAAACCAAAGGTCTGCTTAAGGTGTGAACGGGTGTCACGATGTCTTAGCGCTGCGTTCTCTCCACTGCACGAAGTACTGAAGCTCCGATTGGCTTGGAAAGAGATGTGTGGTGCCCCCTAGACCCTAAACCCTAAACCCTAATCAAAGGTTTGGGGTGTCGGCCTCGGCCCTAAAATCTGAAGTCCGTTGACAAGCCCCGAAAACATACACGGTTTAAGGTTTAGTGTTTAGGGTCCTTAAACCTTAATTAAACCCTACACCCCTGAACCCCTATCACCTTAAACCCTTAAATCCCTAAGCCACAAGTCCCCGAAACATAAATCCCTAAACCCTTGAACCCCTCTAAACCCCTAGATCCCTAAGCCCTAAACCCGCAGCCACAAAGCCATAAACCCGAGCACAAACGCCCGAAACCGCTTGCAAATCAGGGATCGATTCTTCTGCTTCTTCTCCCGCTGCTCCTGAACTGCCGAAACAGAGGGAGAGGGTTCAGGGTTTAGGGTTTAGGTGTTGTTTTAAATGTGGTTTGGGGGTTCAGGGTTTAGGGTTCAGGGGTTTAGGGTCTATAGGGCGTTTTTGTGTCATGTCGTTTGAGGGTTTTGGGTTTAAGGTTCAGGGGTTGAGGGGTTGAGGGTTTAGGGGCCTGTGGCTTCAGGTCAGGTCTACTGCAGGTTCGGAGTAGGAGCGAGGTTGGGTTCAAGGGCTTTTTAGGGATTTTTCTTTAAGTGCGGTGTTTTAGGGTTTAGAGTTTAGGTTTTTCCCGGTTTAGGGTTGAGGGTTTAGGGCTTATAGGGTGTATTCTTGCGCAGTGGCTGGTAATCCATGCTAGGATGGGGCCACCTCACACCAGGATGTGTGGGTGGCGGCATACTGCGCGTCAAGCGACCGTCCTTGCACGTGTCATAGAACTCGGCGAAAGCGGAAGTTCTCTTAAACCCGCCCGCTGTGATGATACCACAGACAACCACCCAAACCATTTCCTCTCTAATGTTCGGGCTTACGCCCTCAATTCCCACACCGAGCATGTAGGCAGGGGCTAGACGGTCAGCAGGGCAAGGGCCAGGAAGGGGTACGGTTGATGATATAAATCCTGCATCACCTTAATGACCTTAAACGATGGGAATTATGGTATATTCCTTGTTATGGGTAATGCAGGATTTATATCATCAACCGTAGGGGGAGGCCCTGCTGAGGTACTCAGATTCAGGGCAGAAAAACGCCAAACGGTCGTGTAGGGATTCGGGTAAGGCCCTTGACAGCCCAGACAGGGCTGTATGCGAGACTCCGCCCATTGTTTGGGAACGGCCCCAGGGGGCCGGGTGGGAGTTTACGATTTTGGGTTGAGGGTTATTTGGGTTTTGGGTTTAGGGGTTAGGATTTGGGTTTAGGGTTGGGTTGGCTGATTGGTTGGAACACAGTCCCTGCTGACGTGTAGATCCAGGAACCAAAAAACGATCAAAGACTTCTTGGCTGCGTTTACAGTCCGTTTGACAGTGTGGGGTCATTAAACATGCGAAATCCGTAACGGTAAACCCTTAAATCTTAAATTCTAAACCCAAAATCCCAAACCGTACAACCCTCTAAATCCTGAACCCGCAGCCCTCCATCCTGAATCCTAAGCCCCTAACCCCTAAACCCTCAAACCCTAGACCTCAGCTCTAAATCCTAAACAGACTAAAAAGGGTCCTGCAAGAAGCCTTTCTCTTGCTCCTGCATCTCCTCAATCATCACCTGATGCAGGTCATGGGTCTTACGTAACATAGGGGCCTGAACAATTAGAACAGGGCTTTTGGTAAATTTATTATACTATATATAGTTATCATAAGAAACCACCAAAATAGTTTTGGTAACTGTTTAGGTCCCTATATTACGCATCTGTTAATCATAGGAGTAGTTCTCTAAACGAGGGTCGGTTTAGGGTTCTTGCTTATAAGAGTGTCGTAGTTTGGGGGACCTGAAAAGGGACCCTACTTTAGATATCTACCCACATGAAGCTTACCATATACCGAAATCTAAACGTACCACATGCAAAATCCTTTACTTTGCTGGGGCACCCATTTGAACCTCAACTCTAAACCCTTCATCCACCTGCGTTGCGCAGGCTTCCACGTAGAGAAGTCAGTCTCTGTAGGGTAAGTCATGTCGGGTCGTTTAGTGAGTGTTTCACGCTGGAGAAGTCAGGAACGGGGGTTTGGGGGGGCTTTTGGTGTTTGTGTTTTAGGACTTAAAGCAATCTACGGATTTGGGTTTGCTTCGTTAGTCTTCAAGCCTTGCATAAACGTATAGCGAACTTACGTGATAAGTTACCATTGCGGTAAAAGACCTACAGTAAACAAAAGAGGCTTTGAGGCTTTGAATTCCCTCTAATCAGAACTTCAGCTAACTTCCTTGGCAAGAGCCCAGTGAGCCCTGGTTGTGTCTGGTTGAACCCTTTTAGTCAAACCCCGCGGTTTAGGGTTTAGGGCTTAGGGTTTAGGGTTAAACCCCCAAAAGCCCGAAGACACCATCAAACCAATACCGCCTGTGTGATAATTGTATTCAACCCTATAAACCCCTGTCACTCCCAACAAACGTAGCGAGAACACATGGGAGCCTGTGCGCAGCACTCGGGGTGGACGCAGGTGTTCTTGGCCTGCAGCGAGACTGAAAGAAGGGTGTGTCGGTTTAGTGGTTTAGGGTTTGACGTGGAATAACTTCATACTTGGGACGGGTTTTGTGGTGAATATCTATTTTAGTTGTTTATAGGAGCCGGAAGGGCGATTAAGTAGTTATTCAGGCTTCTATAGGTTACAGATAGATAGCCCTAAGGGTCCATGTACCTAATTAGCATATACACTGGCCTTCAAGTAGTCCCTATATAGCTACATTGGGGCCAAAGTATATACTATTTGGATACATGGGCCCTTAGGGTAGACCACGGGGCTTAGAAGAGTCACCGGCGGCTCCTGCCTTGCCCTCGTATGCCGTCTCACCAATCGGCATGAAGCACCTCGCACACAGCGTCACCTGGCTGTTTTTCGGCGGGTCATCCTTAATCATTAGAATAGAGTTGAAAAGAGCTAATTATGGTCTATACTCTGTTTAGATAAGGACTGCAAGGGGATATTGCTGTAGATTAGTTCTTGGTTGATAGACTTCTGGCTTTCCTGGCCTTGCTCTTGAACATGCATTCAGGGCTTGGGCATTTTTGGGCCAAGAGCTCAGCCCGAATGACGAGATTTAGTGATGCAGCTTTACACTGACCTGCGGACCAACCTCACGCATGTTGGTCCGCAGCCTAAAATCGTCATCGTCTACAACAGAAGCAAGGGCATTCTTAACGGGATTACTCATGGCCGTCCCGTCCCCGAATCCTGCACCCCAGCCCCGACAGCCCAGATTTTCCATACTGCTGGGCCAACTTTGGACACCTATAAATCACGGAAGTAAGTAATTCAAACCTGTAGCCAGCGTCGGCAGACGTCGCTCCCTCGCGCACAGTCGAGAAGGCTTCCGAACAGAGGAAAGGCTTTGGCTTCAGGGTGACGCGTCCAGGCCTTCGGTGTCGACAGGAGCTGCAAGCTTCCGGACGATGACCATTGAGCTGCATATTGTACCGGAAACAGCCAAATAGAATCCAATGACTATGGTACCAGCAGAGCATATGCGGAGCCACCGCTTCTCATTGGAGACCGTCGACAAGACTCCAGGCAATATGAAGACACACTGCGTCGAAAGCAGGGCGCCAGTCAAGTTCACGAGGTCCTGAAAAAGTGGCACCAGGTTTGCCACCAGGCAACAAGCCAGCATGCTTGCAGTGGTAATCCCGAGCCATTTTGCTCTTGCAGTCGCGCCGGCTCCGAGCGCTGATGGAATCAAGTATAAGCAAATAGCTCGGTTGAGCACCTGCTGCGAAATAGTGTAAGTGACGAGCAAGTGAACGACCATCAAAGCACCACTGGTGCTCTTTCGCCAATCTGCTGGGAGGACCAGGAGGAGGTTACCAGGAGTGTTCTCGGCACAGGCACGGAAAGCCAGCACGCTGACCATGGTATAAACTGCAAAGAGTACGGAGAAGGCTAGGCAAACAGCTTTGGGAAACTCCGAGGACTCTCTCATCTCAACTTGCATCTCCAACATGATATGCTGCCCAGCAAACGCGAAGACAAATCCAGATATGGCGGAACTGTACTGCATGTAGCCTTCATCTCTAGTGCTTGAATGCAGACAGACTGGTGCCGTGAGCAGGGTCCACAGACATAACATCAATGTTGCCAAAACCGTGGCGAAGGAAACCACACTCAACACTGACAAACCAGATAGGGTTCGAAACTGGTTCAGAGGCAACAGCAGCAAAGCTCCGATTAAGCAGGCGGTCAAACGAGAAATATCGAACACGTACAGACAGGACTGCACAGCATCCCCAAGGACAATCATGTAATTTGCCATGGTCATGAAGATGTAGGTATACAGCACGAAGTAGCCGTACATCCCGGTTCGTGGACCGACAAGCACCGCCAAAGCATCACCAAGCGTAACAACATGGGGAAGCCTCTCATGCACCTGCCAAAGAAGCCTGGGTTCTTGTCAAGGGATTTAATGTAAGGCGTAGGTACCATCATGAGGAAACTACATTATTTATGCAACTTAAACTAAATCCTTTAACAAGAGCCCAGAAGCAGTGCCGTGAAGAGGTTGAGAGGATAGCATGCAAGCAACACCATCAGGCCAAAGACCAAGCCTATACTGAACTTGGAACCCTAGAAAAATTGTAATTTTCGCTGTTTCTTAGGGATTATAATAACCAAAAATTAAAAATTATTTCTAAATACCCCTAAGAAGCCCACAGTGGCCATTTGGCCACCAAGAGCGAGGACTCCAGTTCCGACAACTTCTGCGATGATCAAAGCTGAGGTCGCTGTCCACGTCTGCACATTGCCCGGCTTGATGTCTAGGTTGTCCTCAGGGTTCAAGGTTTAGGTGTTTAGGGTTGAGGGTTTAGGCTAAGCGGCCCAGGGGTTACTTTTGTAGGTGTTTAGGGCCCCTTAAGGATTGTTGAGCTTAACGGGTGAGGGTTTAGAGTTAAGAGGTTTGATGTAGGGGCCTTAATCAAAAGAATAGGGTTTTGGGGCCCGTTATACTATATTTATAAAAAACAGCCCCAAAAATAGTATAGGTAACTATTTTGGCCCCTTTGTAAGGGTTTAGGGTCCTCAGAGAAGGCACGCCCGGCAGGCAGATCATCAGTGAGAATCACCGAAGTGACCCCTGCCTTAGTTCTTCAGTACCCTAAGGGGAACTACAATAAATTGACCTTTGGGAAATATGGTTGTGGTTACCTACACCAAAGGCCCTTGAACCCATAAACGCCTAAACAAACACCTTAAACCCATAAACTCCCTTCACCTATAAGAAACCTTATAAAATGGCTTTTAAGGAACCCTTTAAGGAAGCTTAGTTACCAAGCCCATCCCACCTGTAAGTACTACGACCTGACACCCTAAATCCCTAAAACCCCTAAAGCCCCTAAAACTCTAAACCCCAAAAAGTCTAATCTACTACGAAGCTGCTCTCAGCCTGAGGCCCAGGGAAGCTTGGGAGTTTCGGAAACCCAGTCGATCGCCATCTAGGGAAGCTCGTGCCTGGGCTCTTCGTGCTCTCTTCTCCTATTCGATCGCACGATGTATTTTACAATGCATACACATGTATATTTATTACGTACTATGAATAGGTGTACATATACACATTAAAAATACATACATGCATACATACACACATACATATTTGATATCAGTGAGCTCAATTTAAGAGCAGAGGAGGCACTCTGGCCATACCATGATCTGGGTCTAGGGGTATGCCACGAGAGGATTACGGTGTTTAGGGATATGGATTTAAGATAATGATGACAAACCTATTGTAAATAAAATGGTGTCTTTAAACCTGACAACGTCAATCACCCAGGAACTTGACGCACTGCCACCACTGACTCCAAGCGACCAATCTCGGCAGGGGCTGACCATCTTCCAGCCATTCAGGCCATCCAAGGCATGTAGGTAGGTTGCACGTAGGTATGTGTATATATATATATATGTATGAGCCCTACGCCTTTCGGGTCTGCTTGACTAGTTTTTATTAAACACCAGATCAAACTCTAAGTCAAATAGTATAACTGCTATGTATGATAAACAAACTAATACAAATATAGCTGCCTACACCCTTGCCTCTAAGAATCCCACCAAGCACAAGTTACCACCCATGCATGCAACATAATCCTACTAAGTACTGCCTAGACGGTTGCCACTAAGAATCCTATCAAACACAAGTTACCACCGATGCAAGCAACATAACCCTACCAAGTATTGCCTACACGACTGCCACTAAGAATACTATCAAGCACAAGCTACCACCAATACAAGCAACATAATCCTTTTTAAGTGTTGCCTACACCCCTGCCATTAAGAATCCCATCAAACACAATTTGAAAGCGAAAGCACGAAACATAATCCTACTAAGTATTCCCACAACCATGCCACTAAGAATCCCACCAAGCACCAGATACCACTCACACAAGCAACATAATCCTACTAAGTGTTGCCTAGACGATTGCCAATAAGAATCCTAGCAGCACACACAAGCTACCACCCATGCAAGCAACATAATCCTACTAAGTATTGCCTATATACACACCTGCCAATACGAACCCCATCACACAGAAGTTGCAACTTTTGCGTGATTCTGTAAATTCACTATGTTAGTTATGTTCCTATATAACCAAGCTATTCAAAGAAATACAGTTCAAAAAAACTACTTTCTTTGGGCCACTTGCAACTATATGGTTGTGCGTAATGTGATTATATATGTTCTACGACACATCCACTTTAAACACATAACACTCATTCACAGCTCCATACGTTTCTTTTTTCTTTCATGCATGCTAGGATCATACGCAGTCGTACAAGCCGAAACCTTGAGCCTCCGAAAATCTCGTCTTTACTCCGGGGCCGGTGGATCTGCGGATCTATCGTGTCGTCGTCATCTGGCGCTGAGCAGGGCTGGCTTTAAAAGCGGAGAGGCCTCCATAGGCTTTCTTGAGTTTCCCTTCACGAAATGGGAATCGAAGCACCAAAAAGTAATGCAGTTTACACGATGTCTGTCTTCTTCAAAAGAATATGGGTTCCCGCCCCGGAGCGGAGCGATATCCATTGGCAATGCCTGCCAGTAGCAAGCATAAAATAACATACTTCTGTCTGTCGCATCACAGATCAACGAGTGCCCGCTGAAAGCTTCGCTCGTCAGTTGTCGTGACTGCCTCGTATTAGGTCAAAATTAACAGGTTTCTACGCAACGGTCCCGTGCTCTTTGAACGCAGACGTGGCCTGATGCGGACCATGTTCGAACAACTCATGTATGTTCATGCATACTGGATTCTCATCACCGTCTCAACCTCACGAAAGACGGAATTAGCCCGGAGCACAACAAAAACAAAAATCAAATTACGTGAAGCGTAAATCCGAGGAACGCGCTCCAGTCTGAGACGGCGACTCCCTTTGCACATTGCTCTGTGGCTGGGATTACCTCATTGGGTGGGTTGAGCGGAAAAATATCACAGCGCATCATGTCACAAGTGACCCGAGGGTTCGACCAAAAGTTTCGACGCCTTGGTCGGGTTGGTGAAGGATGCCGCGAAGAAACCAGCTTCCATGTACCTCTGCAAGCAAAGACTCCCAGCCAACAACCAAGAACAACTGCAACAAACGGGATTGCACACTGCGCCTGGTCTCTGATGGAAGGTAATCCAACCCACGATAAATGCGACGATGACCCGCTGCATTCGGCAACCTCGGGTGAAACGCATCGGGAAATCTCGAAAGTCGACCAACGCGAAGGACGAGTAACAATGGCATATTTACAGGTCATAATCAACTCGGCGACGCAGTAAAAAGCAACATTTCGCAGCAATCGGAAGCTGAGAGAGCGGCGTGCCATGAGCATTGGAAAGCAAGGAGTTCAACCTCTTCACGAATCCTTCTTCCGAGGTAGCTCCGTCCAAATACGGCATGAAAACTCGCGGGATCAGCTTCGCGACTTTTTCCATCTCTTCTCCGCGGCCTTGCATCAACAAAAATTGCGACGGTCTCGCTCATGTTCTTTTGGGTGGCTTCATGGTCCGAAGGAATGCAGCTCAGGCCCGAACGCCACTTTTGAACCGCCCTGTACCCCGTCGAGTGGGTCCAGCAGCTCAAGGCTGCTGTCATCTCTGGCGTCAGGTCCGCCTGAGCATCCCAAGATCCAAGAATCGTGAACTTTGACGACGAAATGACGATCAGACAACAAGAACTAATCGAAAAGGTATGCATCAGTTTAGTTCGTTCAAAAGGCCACCATGCTGAAAAGGCACCTTAGCCTCACCAGCAGTCTCGTGCACACGGCGCACCTGGACCGAAAAGCGGAAACATCCCAGTCCGATTAGCGCGGCCTTCAATCTGTGAAGGCTGCACATGTTGACGCAGCACTTCTGTTTCCGCGCAGAAAGAGGATTACCATCCACTCGTGCCACTCAACCCATGGAGATCATGGGCCTTGCTTTGGAAGCTGCCTCCAGACTGTCCTAAGTTTCGCCAACAAAAGGAAACTGGCAAAATCCATCTGTTGCATGGATGTGGTCCTGAACGACTACGTGCTGTGGAAAAGGACTCCGGAGCCCAGCCGATAACCCTGACACGGGGCCACCTCGGCTGTCTCCTTCCGCTGCAGCCCCACCTGATGTCTTTGAGACTTCTCGTGTGTCCAGATCTTGTGCTGCCCACTCAACGTGTTTCGCCGGCACGCGACCTCGCAGTCGCAGACGGTACACCACCACACCGATTCGAAGTGTCCTGACATGATCTGGAAGACTAACACGGAAGCGAGCAGAACCAAGCGGCGAGTGGAGAGCTCTGCATCTTACAGATCACTGATCCTGACTTGGAAAGTCGAAAGCTGTCCGCCGCAGCATGCAATTCTGCGGAATTCTATCCAGTTGAGTCAGTTGATGCTGTGGAAAATTCACGTTTCGAGCAGACATCCACCATCTGGACATAGCCCTCAGCACTTGCTGGTCGCGAAGAAGTTCCGGTTTGTCTACATCCAGATGGCAGCCGGTCCAGTGGTTTCTGTCCAGCACTTGCTGCTTCATACTCCTAGAACAAGCTGCTAGAGTGGCCAGATATTCCGGGTAGAAGTAGTAGGCCGGAAGAAGGCAAAGCAATTTAGGAAACAATACCCTCCTGTCCCCCTTCCCTTCCCCTGCCCTCTCCTCCTGCATCACTGTGCCCTGCTTCCCCCCACCCACCCACCCACCCAGCTTCCACCCCCACCATCTAGGTGGGTGGGCGGTGGGTGTGTGGGTGGGTATGGGTGGGTGTGGGGTGCGTGGGTGGGTGTGGGTGGGTGTGGGTGGGTGTGGGTGGGTGTGGGTGGGTGTGGGTGGGTGTGGGTGGGTGTGGGTGGGTGTGGGTGGGTGTGCGTGGGTGTGGTGGGTGTGGGTGGGTGTGGGTGGGTGTGGGTGGGTGTGGGTGGGTGTGGGTGGGTGTGGGTGGGTGTGGGTGGGTGTGGGTGGGTGTGGGTGGGTGTTGGGTGTGGGGGGTTGGGGTGTGGGGAGCAGCAGGGACTGTGGTGGGGTATGGTCGAGGGCTGAATGCTCAAAATAAAGAAAAATCAAGTCTTGTTTGCAGTTGGTTTACGATTTTGTTTCATTTTCCTAGTGAAAATACTTAAAATGTGGAAAAATAATGACAACAGATAAAACAAAGCTGATTTTGCTTCTTTTGAATATTTGTACTACTTGAATGATGACAATGGTGAAAAGAATTAAAAT